TGGAACCTCCAACGTTTCATTTACGTCCCAGGGATTTTCCCTGTTCTTGGTTCCGTTTCTGGTTTCTGTCGTTTCTGGTTCCGTGTTAGGCTAGAATTGAGTTTTCGAGGATTTCGAGAGAGGCATTGCGATCGCGCCAAGAGGAACTGGAAAAGACATATAATGCCACTGGCATTGTAGGTAGAACGTTAGGAATAATGGTCAGGGTGGAAAGTCTTCGCAGACTGAAACACTGGATTCGGCATCCCTGGCATCCCACAATTCAGTCTCCTTCCCTTGGAGCTTCTTCGGTCGAATGGGACCTGACTGCTTTCTCCTCCGCTCGAGACGATCGTCACCTTCAAAATGACACCTTGAAAGTCCTATCCTCATTCCGAATGCTTCTCCCCTTCGATGGGATAAAAACCGAAGAAAAAAAGAAGAGAATGGAAGTGTCTCCGTGCAAACGCCAATGACACTCGGCATCCTGTGTTTTTCCTTTCTCTTGATTCGAATTCCATCTCGTAGATCTCGACGAAGTACCGAAGAATCCACGCTCGCTCCCTATCTATTTTGGCTCGGCTATGGTCATAACGGGCAATATTTTAAGCATCATATATAGAACGTAGCTGACTGACATTGTCGAAGCTAGGAACGAGAAACTTAATAGCTGAGAGAACGAACGGGAAATTGATGGCTTGAGCAATGATGTGTTCAACATGTCCATCTTTTTGTGCAGTAATCTGTTGTAGGCGCTGAACGTTTAGCTTCTGACGCGCATCCGCTGGTCGAATCCGAGCAATGGGATGTATACGGAGAGTGTGGATATGCTTGAAGTGGTCAGGATGGTTTCACTGGGCTTGCTAGGTCTCAGATCAACTTCCGTGCACGTCCTAGGCGGCCTAACATGCGAAAGGGAGCCATAGGCCTATACTGTTCGCTGTGGCAGTGTTCTGCAGTGTACTTTGCAGGTCCGCTGGGATTAATGATGAAAGCAGGCTTTTCCAGAAAAATGGCGAGCTTGCCAAGAACTGCTCATGGAACACTCGTTGTCTAGGTGGGATGAGTTCCAGAAGGGGAGAGAGATGGCGGTAGTCTCTCGGTGGCAGACGACGTTCCATGTGACCGCTGTGACGTCACTCGGGGACATGGTTCCACCCGTGGCGGTGTCTCTAGTGAGTGCGCCACCCACGTTGAGTAAATTTGTGACAGAAAAATGTATTCTGAACTTTAAAGAGTCAGGCAATAGGCAGGAGTAGGGAAATTTGAGAATGAATTCCCTCCACCGTTTACGTTGTACATTTCTTTTAATGATGCATTCAGGGAGATGTAAGACATCTCCCTTCATAGAAATAACATTAAGCCTATTGAGCTTACGTTGAAGATGGTACGAATTCTTGCATAAATAACTTTAAAGCTATGTCTCGACTTGTTTGGTGAAGTCAGAAATGACGAATAATGTTTTACGAACTGAAGGTTTTTGTGACTATCATGAGCTGGAGCTTTTTCTTTAGGTCAAAGTAGGGGCAAGAATCAGTTTGACCAGTTGCCCTTGTATTCTTCAGATTGACTATGTATTACTTCTATGTGGCATGATTACAGTTGCCCATGAAATTGCCCAGCATTCCAGCATTATGCCTTCCCTTCCTTCCAAGCTACATAATTTACACGCCCTTCTGCCATGTGTATATGAGATTGCTAGCACAACAACTGGGGATTATAATCCAATATCCTACTCTCTATTGTTCAATTACTAGCATTGAGAATTTACTTCCTCTACAAAGTGTGGAATATAAATTTGAAAATATATTAGGAAGCATGATTTTCCTTAATTTTTTTCAAAATGCCACTCCTGAAGCAAAATTCACTGTCACCCATTTTCATTTACATTTTTTCGTTTGCTTCAGCCTAACCATACTCTGGGACTCTTTCCTTACAATAAATCTTTCCTCCAAGGTTGAGTGTAGACCTAATACATGCAATGTAGTTTTTGTAAACAGCAAAGTTAAGAGTGCCAATGACATCCAATTTCCCCTCTTCTTGTGTTCTCAGTAGGCCCCAAGGTACATTTTTGACTTTGTAAACTAATGCTGAGACTAGGCCTAACATTACATTCTAATCACCAATCACTGCTGGTAACACCATCAATTAGGCTTAGCTAGGTTCATTTATTTCAATGACCTCACTTCTTTCAAGGAAGTTTAGTCTCATAAGCCTATGAGGGTAATGTATGTTATTGATTCTAATTGGGGCTGTCACAATGCATGATCGATGGCATTATTAGCTGTATGCAACATTTGCTAGTATGAAAGGAAAGTGCCAAACAAATTTGCTGGTGCATGTGATGGTAAGACTCCACTGAGCTAGGAACAAGAAAAGATAGATGGAAGGAACTAGGGGCTGAAATGTCAGAATGCACTTCAGTGCAGGGCAAGAAAGAGGAAGAAACATGTTCACCCATGTTCATTTAACTCACCTATCCATATGTTATGAAAAGTGCTCTGTAATAGACTTAAAATCATGCAGGATTCACCCTATGATGTAAGATTTATATACAATGAAGTTTCTATTCTTCCTTCTTCCCTTTACTCATATCTATCAATGAAAATAGTCTCTTGATGCATCAAAGGTTCCAGTTGGCACATAGATGTTTTCAATGCTATAATGATTTTCAATGGATTACATCCCCTCTTCTATGGCAGAAGTGGGAATTAATTGCATTTCAGTCTCTGATTTAGTCAGGGACAGTTATTTTCATTCAGTGGGATGACACATGGCAGTATTCACAAGGGGTATGGGATGCTACAATTATTCAAAAATCACCGTAACATAGTAACAGCCCTAATTCCTAACATCCAGATTCACAATTCTCAAACATGATGCCTGACATTCCATCAATAGGCCTGTGCACAGCTGGTGTCTGCTGGCATAGTGCATTGATATTGAGGGAAGCAGACACTCATCATTTGCTCACATGAAAATCAGGCATCAGCAGAGTTAAATTTTGGTTCACAGATATTATTAGATATCTCAAGTATTGGGTCCAGTACCAATAATGATATGGTATTGTTACATCCCTAATGAAAATATATAGCCTAAGTCAGCTATAAGTTCAACCTGTAGATGGTGAAAGTCATGCTTCCCTAGCTGCTTGTCATTACAATGGGTGATTAAGCTCTTTTCTCTTACATCTCTCAGTCTGGCATAGTGCCTGTAATGTGCAGGTGTACATCTTTTCTCAGGCTAATAGCTATAACCAGGGCAAACCTTTCATGTCTTACTCTTTCAGGGCTTATTCCTGTGGGTTTTAATTGCCTGAAACTTCATTGAAGTAAGTTTAAAGAAGCAGCTGGGGTTGAGGTAGGATTCAATTCTGCAGCAGTTGGGATTGTCTTCCAAGTTGTACTGCACTGGGGTGCCAACTCTCTCTACTGAAAAATGGGAAGTGGAGAGGATTAGAAGTATTGTAGTTTTGCTGCTCTTGATAGATCTATTCAGTGTAACCCCAAATAGAGCCACAATCTGTTGAATACCAATTTTTATGGACATGGCATGTTGGAGGCAATTAGGCTTAGGCTAGTGCTGAACCTGTCAGTCTCAGATGTGCTGGACTTGTGAAAAGAAAAGGATGTTAGGGAAGGGAATATGAAAAGACAGATTATTAAGGAAGAATTAAAGAAAGGCTCCAGAGAAATAAGAGATTATTTGTGCAAGAGACTTAGAAGGAAAAGAGAAGAGAGCTGCTTGGAAGAGTGTGTAATCTTCAGGAGAAATTGAGCTCTTGAAGCCTTGTGAGAAATGGATTGAAAGTTTACTAGCCCTGATGTGACTGCAGTTAGCACAAAAGCACACAAAACTATGTTCATGTCACCCTAAGGTGACCAGGTAAGGAACAATTATTATTATTATCATTTTTAAAAACATGGGGACTGGGATGAACACACACAGACAAGGACAAATGTCACAAGTGGCCAAAACAAAGTGAAGAGGAAAGGGGATCCAAACTGAACATCCCTGATGGCATTGCCACACCTTCCCATGCTCTCTATCACTATGTATCCAGTTTTCACAGGCCCAGGGAAGGTGAAGGCAACTTCAATGCAGCTCAAGCTTGAAGCCTTCCATCACTCTACAATGAGTTGATGTGTCAGGTGCTATTGACATGCACCAAACCTACCTCTCACACAATGGAGCACAGTGTGGCCTATGCTTGAGCCTGTAGATGGTGATTTGTTGAGAAATATGGGGGAGCTTGGAAACAATACTCTTGCAAGTATTCCTTATTCCCATGTCCTTGCTGTGAGCCCCTTTTGCCAAATATGAGCCTTTATGAATTGCCGCCTATGCTTTAACCCAAGGGAAAGCAGGTAATACCTGTCACAGGTGAGGCAGTAAGCTGTTGGCCCAGGAGAATACCACCTGCTGCCAGTTGGATTTGAACCTGGACCTCCCACTTGCTAGCCCGAGCCCCTGTCCACTGAGGCATGGTGACATGGTGGAAGGAACAGGTGATTAATCAACTTCTGACTTCTTGGCAGAAGTCAGCAACTGATCATCTATTAAATTGAAGAGACAAATGAAATTATTAGTTCTTCAGTTTGGAGTCCAGATTGGATTGACATTTGGCTGTTTCATGAATTTTGTCACATTTGGGGTACACAAGGTTAAGAAACTGAAGTTTCATTCAGTGATTATAGACATTTTTATGAGACATGAATGTATCACCCTTGATTCCATGTGTGGACCTTACCATGAGACCTTCTGGGTTGGGATATGCCAAACCAGTTAACTCCAACTGCTTTTTCTGGCAGTAGTTTAGTCCACAAAAAGACTCTTGTGGACAACAGTACATACCAATTTTGTCCTCTAAGAAAAAGCAGAAATATGCCCATTCCGTATAGTGAGTTTACAGGAGGGCATGAATTTAGGTATTGAGGCAGCTTTGGCTTGTTGCATTTTGCCATGTATTGAATATATGCCTAGTGAGTCTAGTTCCCAAAAGCTTTTTCTTAACTTTTTGATTTTGCCTATTTTGCATAGGTTTGACCTATGTTCCATGTTGCATGTGTAGAAGTGACTTTGTGAGAAAGAATTATTGAAGAAGATGAATGAAGCAATACAGAAGAAATTTCAGCAGGAAGTGGAGAGGCTAAAGGGTTTACAGAAAGGTGAGATAAAATGCACATAAGAATCTTTCACCTTAGAGCAGTGATGGGCATGTTTCAGATTACATATAATTTGCTTATTGATTCAATATATTGATGTTTAATTTTTATCATTTTTCCAGATTCCCAGAAGATCATTCAGAGTCGTCAACAATTGGATGCACAACTGAATGAGAATACTCTTGTCCTAGAGGTGAGACTATATTACTTTGAATTAAGTTCCTGCACATAGCCCCGTGATTCTGTTGGGCTAGCAGTCCATGTTGCCTTTAAGTTCTAAAAAATAAGCTGAATTTTATGGGAAGGATTGGATATGTGGCTGAATGTTGAAGCATTATATTGGCAGCTGAAGCAAATTCTGGGTATCTTCCACTGCACAAGTAAGAGATAGGTGACTGAAAAATGATAGCATGACCACAACATAGAAAGTAACTATGTTGAAACTTAGCTGGAAAAAGTACAAGACAGAATGAAAAAGGTTAAAATCTCAGTGTGAAATCTCAAGTGGAAGTTGCCATGAGTGGATGGTGTTAGAGGTAAAACTGCTACATCTATTCAAATCCTTCCAAATTTAGTATCTTCTGGCAGGAATAATTTTCGAATTAACAGTGGATTCTTTCTATCTGAAATATTGGAAATACCAATACTATCCTCACCTTGGTAGACAGGAACAGACTTGGAAACCTGGATGGAAAGCCAAGTCTGTACTTATTGCAATGATTTTAAACCATCTGGAGTTTCAGTTTGGCAAGGCTTTATTCTAGCTGTTGACAGGAGACAGGAGACATTGCTAGACTGAAGACATTTGGTTTCATGAGTGATAAGACTTGACCAGAGAGAGGCTAGGAAGTTCCCAGAATCATGGAATGGATGGCACATAGATGGTGGGGGGGGGGGGGGGTGAAGGTTTGAGGCTGCACCTCTTTAGAGTCATGAAATGCCCTCTTCATGAGAGATATGGTGGTGAGTTTGTTCTTACCAGTCCCCCCCAGTTCCCCAGTTTAACTTGCTGCAGGCAGATTGTTCTAATTTTCTGGATTTGAAGTCTAACTCCATCACTGTGCAACTGGCTTGTGCCTGAAACTTCATTGCCTAGTGATTTGATTAATAAAGTATTCAGAACAGTTATAGCTGGAGATGCCATGGTATTTTACCTGTGCATGACAGCATTAAAAGTTGTGCAGGAAATTGCAGGTCAATGTATGGGATGATCAAAAAGTTCTAAGCCTGAGGCACTTCCAGTTGCAATACCCTTTTTTTTTTACTCTTCTCACAAGAATACAGATGTCTTTAGTGATTGACAAAATTGCATCATATTTGTTGATTTAAGATAGCTTGTATAAATGTTTCAATGTGTTACCAAAGGGTCTGCTGAAGGGGTATTAAAATTGAGATGAATGCTGTGATGAATTGTCCAAATTCTGAGGAGTTGATCTCCCTGCAGATTTTTATGAAAGTATTAGTAGGACCCTGTTCTCTTAGCTGCTGAATGATGTGCTAGGAGATTGATTCCATAATTGTTGGAAAATTCATCACTGTATTCACCTTAATTTAATAGCCCTTCAGCAGTCCTGATGATAGCAATAAAACATAACAAAGGAATGAATGAATGAGATAAACATTGAACCTGGAAAGGAGGGCATTATTATCCATCTATTTCTTAGGAGCTCCAGAAGCTTGAGTCAGATGCCAATGTCTTCAAACTCATTGGGCCTGTGCTTGTCAAGCAAGATACAGAAGAAGCAAAGCAGAATGTCCAAAAGAGGATAGAGTATATTCAAGGGGAACTGTGAGTTTGAAATACCCCATATTCACTTGGGAAAAGGTATTATCTCTGCACTTCTGTTCATCTTGGGTTTCCTTGCAGGAAGCATTGTGATACCACTCTGAAGGATCTCAATGAGAAGCAGGAATCACATAAAGAATCGATTGGAAAGCTCCAGCAACAGATGCAGCAGATGCAAGTTAAGGCAGCAATGAAAGCATAGGACAGGTTCTAATTGCTTGCCCTCTGTGTTTCATCTGATGTTGCTTGATGTGCAGAGGGAATCCTTTCATTTGGCAAATTGAAGTTCATAGGGATTTTGTGTGAAAGCAATGTCATGGTTGAGTTTTTTACTATTGAATTTTTAAATGAAGAACTGAGTGGCCATTCACAACTGGCTAATCTGAAATCACCTGCAGCACTTTTTCTGAGTGGGGTAACTGGCTTCAGTCTAAGAGGGTTTGCAAGAAGATGTCATAATGACTTGACAGCATATTTTTAACTTGAGTGAAGCACTTGATCACTGCCTCCAATAACTACTGCCATCTTGTACCTTGAATTTGGTTGGTCATTTATGAAATTATGTCGTTGATGGAATTCATGAAATGTTATTATATGTTGGATATAATGGCATTTTCAGAGCCAAATTTTATTGTTCTATTTGATAAGGGTGCCCTTTTGATGACCAAATTTATTGTCCTTTTTGCAAAGCTGTTGTGGTACCAAGTCCTGGGATCCTTATTGGATACCCCTTCCATGCACCTTCAATCTGAAATTTATTCATGAGTCCTTCAGAAGCTAATGCATAATGTGGCTGAAATGCAACTCTACTTGTATCCCAAAGCCTTACTATTGTGCCATTGCACTGACCATCAAAACCTATTGGCAAGCAGATGGGATTCACCCTCTGCATCTCCATCTACTAATCTGATTTCAATGTAGACCTTGTAAACGAGTTTGCCTATTCTTTTGTGATTGTCTCCTTGGGGAACTTGAGATCTTACATGCAATACAAGGTCTACTCATGGTCCACAAATGAAACAATCCATCTTTCTGACCAAAGATGGGGTATTGCATCAGATAATATCTAATTTTCTCATTAAATGATTGAGAATGTTTCTTTTGGCCCAGAACAAAGCAGGAATTTGCAGCAACCAACCCAGATTCTACCAATATCAGAGAAGTTGTGCATCTGAAAAGATTCCTTATGCAACCTATCATGTATTTCATCTGTTGAGGTACGAGGCATCCAAATATCATACATTGCTGTTGCAACAGTATGAATGGATTATTCTAATAAAGTTGCACACTCTACAGAAGAATAACATTGAGGGAATGCAAGGGAACTTTTCAGCTGTAAAATGAGAGCAGAAGGTGTGCTTTGACAATCAATGGTGTTTTGCTCTGGTCTGGAATGCTATAGAAGCATGACTTAAGGAAAAAGAGCAGGCTGTGCAAGAAAGCAGCAATAGTGCATCCCAGACTCTGCAGCACTGATGTAGCAACATGGGATTCTATGTCTAATAGGACATGAAAGAGTCTTTTGAAGTTTCTGGTCATGATTCTGTGGAAGGAAAGTAACCCCTCCAGTGATATGTATTTTACTGTTGAATGTAAATCTTCAGAGTTAAGTACTTTCATAAAGGTTGTCCCCTGGTCTGATATTTAGTAATGGTAAATATTTTGACTAATCTTAATTGATCAATAGAAGCACATTCAACTTCTCAACCCTGTGGAAGTATGCCTGAAGAAAAAGTGCATTGCCTTATAGGCATTATTCACATTTGAGGGGTTATTAATCCTCTCCTGCAGGAGAAATCTTGCATCACAGTGAAATGCAAAGATGGCAAGGTGATGTCAGCATACTGCATGATGTGATGGCATTTTTTGTACATGCATGAATTAATAATCATTTCATCTTTGCTAAACTATGAGGTTGAGAAACCAAGATCTTGGCATATTAAATTGATGGCTAGCTGATTTCATGCACACAGTGATGGGGCCAGCCTTGGCATTTTTAACTCCAGGTCATTGGATTCAGGATTGTTGGGTTCAAGAAGTTGACCTGTGATAATCTTGATGTGATATCAATCTCTCATATGTAGACAAGTGGCATCTCTTGGTTCTCGACTAAGAATCAGTACAAGAGAGAAGGAGGTTGACCTTGAAAGAATTTATAAGTGGCAGGTGTGACTGTTCCATGCTTGCTTGAGTTCATGTAGATGATGAGTCGAAGCATTTCCTGCTATCATGTAGTGGCTGTTATGAGGCCTGTACAAAGTATGAGCTGTAGTAAGATGAGATTTATGTTGCTACAATCAAGAAAAAGCCTGGTGAGTAAGTCTAATTATTTTTTGTTTGCTCTGGTATCCTTAGCAAAATGGTAACAGGTAAGTCTGTCATTACTTACAGGACATGGTTTTTCGAAGGAGTTCAGCTGATGCTCGAGTGCAGCCTCCCATGGGTGGACCACCTCCCAGGAGAATTGGTGCTTATGGATTTGCTCTTCTGGTATAGCTGAACTTCATTACATTTCCTCCAGAGTTGGATAATATGCAACATGTTCAAATGGCATGAATTGGAGTCCTATAATTTACTATTCCTAAAAAATATGTGATCAGGATGCAATGGATGGGGTAGACGTAACCATCATCTTGATGAGGCTCACACAAGAGTTTCAATGCATTATGGACACTTACTCAAAGAATGTGAAGAGAGCTTTGAAACTAAATGGAGTTCACCTTGATTCTGACGAAATTAAAAGCAATGGATGGGTTGCTAAAGGACTATGTCTACTAAAGAAGCCCAGGGGATTATTTGCCTTTTTCTTGGAATGGGATACACTGAAACAGTTCAGTAAATATGATGACATGGAGTGGTCCATAATTGTTTTAAACTTCATGTTAATAAATGTAAATATGTTTCTTTGCATGTATTTGCATTGCTTTTATCAGAATTCATTGGAAGAATCAGTGTTCAACTTGGAGCACTCATCAGTTTCATGCATTCTAGCCCTGATGTCAAGGTAGTTGTGGAAGAAGCACACTCTGATTTATGAATTTCAGTCTGTGCCAATCTTGACCTTCTGCTTGGGAACATGGCAAGTGAAGAGGAGGGCTTGGAAGCTCCGACTCATTGAGGAGCTGGGACGAAAAACTCACTTACAACCTATTGAGCTTCCTCTTGAGTATGTTCATAGCTTTCCTTTCTTTTACTGTATTAGAAAACCTTTCTCATTTCCGGACAACACCTAGTCTCTCTTCAAAAGATTCTGGCTCTGAATGTCAACAGTGATCCTATGATGATGAGGGATATGGAATATCGACCTGTGAGGGTGCAAGGACATTTTTTGCATGATCAAGAGATGTATATTCAACCGAAGTCCCTAATAAAAAAAGGAGCAGTTTCATCTGGTGGAGGAATTGTCAGCTCTCCTCAGACAATTGGTGGAGCTCTTGTCATCACACCTTTTCGCCTTTCTGATGGACAGTAAGCTTGCAAGCTGGTATTTTTTTATTCTTATGCAGCAAGATTAATTCAGTCAGTGATTAGAGGGATATTGAATTGGTAATATTGTTGTTGGCCAGAGGGACCATTTTGGTGAATCGAGGGTGGGTACCGCGGAAACTGATTTCACCTGGATCCAGACAGAAAGGCCAAGTGGAAGGAGAAGTTGAGATCACAGGCATCTTTCGGATCACAGATCCTAGGCCTCCCTTTGCTCCCCATGATAACCCGGATTCAAAGTTTTTTCATCGCAGGTGAGGTCACTCTCTGCTATTGAGCAGTTGGGTGAGATCATGGCTTTTAGTTATGAGTAGCTCTTCAGCTTCTGTCATTTGGCTTGATGGGAACTCAATCCTGCTACGTTTAAATTTCTTTTGGAATGCACATATGGTACAGTATATTCAAAGAGAGTGTGAGTATCTGTTTCCTTGATCAAAACATAATTTCCGTTTTGGTATGGAATGTAATATTGCTCTCATTCAAGCATCGTGATCTAAAATAGTACAAAAATTCATTGTGGAATCCATCACTGCACACTTACCCCACTGTTTTCATTCAAGGGTGTTGGTACAAGCAAAGGACAGTGCTGCAGTGGTGGGACTCCACCAAGAACTTGAAGTCAGCTTAGAGAATACCATTGGGGTTCTTGTGAATTTGTGCATGGATAAAAGGAGAGGAATAAACCACATTACCTCCTGTTCCTCTGAGGCATGCAATGCCCTTTTCAGAAAATATGCAAGTTGCAATATCAATTGTGCTCTCTTGTACTCTCACCCTCCTCCTACACTGTTCTTTAACCATCTAACTCCAGATTATTCTTTATATTTCTTGTTGTGGTGCTATTAATATCTCCACATTCAAGAGGGCAAAATATTGAAAATCTCATTTTGCAGAGGAGATTTAGCATAACTCTGGCTGCATAGAGCGAATATAAGCGAACTGATTCTCTTGCTTATTCCCTGTGAATACTTTTTCCCACAGCATATACGTCAGGGAAACTTTGTACTACTTGCAAAAATTTGAAAGTTCATTTGCCTTCTCACAACCAGGGATGTGGAGCAAATGGCAGCCCTCAGAGGGACATTGCCAATTTGGGTGGATGCAGATGACAGATCCACTGTAGAGGGAGGCCCTATTGGAGGACAGACACTTGTGTCCATACGTAATGAGCACTTTTCCTACATCATCACATGGTATGTCAGAAATGGAGAAAAACTTCCTATATCACCTATTTATACTTGTGAGTAGTGTCACAATCTGTAGACTTAAATAATTTATTTACTGCAATCCACCTCTGTACTTATGGAAAATGATGATGTCATGAGCTTTTGAATTTTGATGTGTAAAAAGATAAACTCTAGGGAATGCTTGCCAAGTTTTCTGCAACTATTAACTCTTATGGACAAGGAGAGTTTTTTTTGCCATGTACTTCCTTAAATATATATCTTGAAATAGAAAAGGGATGTAATTTATTTCCTTTAAGAAAATAATATTATTTTAATTGACAAAGTAAAATTGATTCAATGTATATCCATATTTGCTGCTAAAATCACCATGGATCTTTTGTGTCAGTTGACAGAATTTATTACCTGAATCACCTGATCTCTTTCTTCTTTAGGCTACATTGAGCAAGCTGGTGAGGCTTGGATTTTGTTCTTTTATGTATTTTTCTGAAGTAAGGCATACTTCTTATGGTCTATGCAGCCTTGCTTCATGCTAGGTAAGATAGCACGTTGATGAAGCTGTTGGTAAAAACAGCTTCAGTTTTTTCTAACTTGCATCATGACTCTAGAGATTGAAAATGATATATGGCATTTTCTCTTTGCAGGTATTCCTTGAGTGCAGCAACTGCTTTCATGTGGTATCAAAAGTTATTCCGGCCTAAGTGAGGATGAAATATTTATCCCTAAGAAATATTTTGGGATTAAAGTTGCACAGTTTTCTCAAAATATTAAAATTGTGAACTAAAATGAAGAATGAAGCGGAAGAAAGGCAAAATCACTTGTGCTACAGAGGCATTCCAGGATGCCTTCTGTTGGGGTCAAGTTCCCCCAGTGTGCACAATGATTTGTATGAAACAGATGAGCACATATTCTCGTGAGCCTGTTTTCCAACAAAGATCTCTGTGTAATAGATGCTGCTGAGATACTGGGAGTGATGAGTCATCAAGTATTGTGGAAGGTGGGGTCCTTCATTGTGCTTGCTCTAAGCCCATTGAAGCCTTTTTCTTAATGTTATTGATGAATTCCTTCCAGATCCTGAGGCCTCATATCCCTCGTATCCGTTTCCGCAAAGGAGGGCTACTTCCAAATGGTATGATGCAATTTTTTTCCTGAATTGAATGTTTTAGGCAGGAATGTTGGGAAGTAATTGTTTTTAAGTGTTTGAAATAGTATTTGAATATGAATTGCTATTTTGTACTCCCTCTGTCTCAAAATAAAACCGGTGTATTGACTTTATTTTTGTCTCAAAAAGAAACCTGTGTTTGCCTCTGTGTAAATATCTAGCTTAATCATCGATAGATATGAACTTGTTGGCGCGCTCAATGACATCTTCTGGGCATTTGACATTCTCCGGTAGCTGTCCTCTGTGTTGCAGACTTGCCTTACCTAAATGTGGAATTTTGTAGTGTATGCCACCATCAATAGACATCACTTGAATCATGCTTGTCTGCCATGTCAAGAAGATGTTGTTCAGTTTGTCTGGCTCCATCATCCAGAATGCCTGCTCGGTAGCTGGAATTAGACACTCTAAGTTCTTTTGAGTGAGCTGATGTTGGAGTGATGGTATTGCTCGGAACAGCCCCAGATCCAGAACATTCATATCAGGACTGTTTGGTGGCTGGCATGTCATGATGATGTTGAATCCGTACTTGATAAGCGCTGCAGCCAAGTCGGTTTCTGTGCCAGTAGGATGCGGTTTAGCGTTATCTTGCTGGATGAGAATGGTGTCAGTAGTCTTGCCGGGCCACGAACGAGGCCACTTCTCGTGGATCGCCGGCAGGACATTGTCAATCCGCATCTTCTTAACCTCTTCCTTGGTTATTCTCTTGATGCATTTCATCTCCATTGTACCACGCGGCTGGTTCTTGCTGTTGCATTTCGCCGGCTCCTTAAACACGAATGGGAAGATGCCAATCTTCCCGTCGAACTTGCAGTTCTTGTACAAGTCATAACGAGGGCAGGCCACGGCAGCAAGAAACATGACTTTGGTGATAAACCGTTTGGTCTTAGCAGTATGGAGCAGTGGTTCCTTGTCTGGAGCTAGATAGAACTTGGCATTGGACTCGGTGATGTAGAACCACTTCTTGTCGATGTGGACCATGTTCATGCAGTCTTGAAACATTGGTAAATTCTCTGAATCTAACTTCGACAGACAGAATTATATGCGTTCGATCTTGTTCGCATCTGTCAGGAATGGTTTGATTGCATTCGAATGACGCTTGATCTGACCTTCCTTCACTCGTCGACGGATGGTCGCAGTGGACATGTTCATCTTGGCGGCCATAGACCGAATGTTCTTGCGTTGGACCAGCGGTATCTCCTTCAACTTATTCATGTCGAGAACCTTCTTCTTCCTTCCTACACGGCCTCGTTTCAGGGATGAAACATTCGCAGAAACTGCCCCTCTAGCAAGAGATTGCCTGCCTCGCTTCCAGATCCCCGAAATTGTATCTCGGGTCACACCGAACCGCTTGGCAACATCGTCCAAGGCACCTTTGGCAAGCTTATTGGGTTTTTCTGGGTTCTTCACCTTGGGTAACAAGCATTCGTACACTGCTCAACGTTCTTCATCGGTTAGATTTGGTTTCTGCTTGCTAGCTGTGCCCATGATTGTGCTGGAAACAACGGTAGCATCAGGACCAAGATTCGCGTCTTCGACCGATGGGACAACTTGGGCACCTGTGTCTACTCGTCCTTCAACCATATTCACATTGCCATGCTCCATATCAATCACTTTCTAAGTACCGGCAACGATCGCAAAAACACCTGAAATGGCACAATTTTGACGCCACTTATCTCAACTTTCCAGTTAGCCCCTAACCCTAAAAATTTCGAAGCTGTGTTCAGAATAGTTCAAGCTTAATATCTGACGCCTTCCTAGTGCAATTCCTTGGTACCATTTCTTAATCCCAAACTTTTACTAAAACACCAGTTTTATTTTGAGACAGAGGGAGTAATTTTTATTCCAACTATTTCCTGAGGAATTTTGACTTCCAAAATAAAAAACTGGTGTATTACCATTTTAGCCACTCATGAGCAATGTGCTCATCCATGTAGCAATAGCAATCTTATGAGATGTGTCTGCTAGCAGACTTTATATGAACCTCTTTCAAAAAATGCAATGACATTACATTACATACTTATACATTAAAATTTACAGTTTGAAATGAAAATTTTTGAGAAATTCAAAAGTATTTTATATCACCTCTACAGAAATAGGAAACCTATTTTTTTTTATTAGAAATGCACTGCAGTTTTCAAGTAGGAGATGTTGACCCTGCTGGTACTGATAGCATGATGTTGCATTTTTACAGAAAAGAGTCCTCACTTATTGATTTACTTTCGGGAAAGAAGGCATCATTTGGTGTATCTTGCTAATATGCTTAGCCAACCAGGATCTGATGACAAATCCACTGAGGGTGGAGAGCAGGTCCCTCCCTTCTTTTCTCTCCTTTCTGTAAAATATGGCACTGAGTTCAGCTCCTTCATAAAAGCCCTCATGACTGAAGTATGTCTGATATTTATTTTTCCTCCATTGTTCATCCAACTTCCTCTGGAGAAATCTCTTATGTGTTTTTTGACTTGAAAATATATGAAAAGAAAATGGAAAGATGCAAAGAAAAACTATACACAAATGCCCTCATTTATTTATGCAGGCAGAAATATACCATGTTCAATTATTATTACCTGTTTTACTATGCTTTTCAAAAGGAAAGGCTTAGTGCTCCTCCTTGCTTTCTAAGTACATATTTTTATATTTGTTCCTTGTCATTGCTCAGATTCTACTGTGATACAGGCAACGGACACTTCCTTGCTTTGTTGTGTTTGTCATCTCAACCTCTATACACAACACTACCTTTGCAGAATTTTGGTCAGGATGATCTGTATGAAAAGTGTGTCCTGCCACTTTCTACTTGATTGTTTACTTCTTTTTTAAATTGGTGCATTTCTCACCTCAGTTGGTGAGAGAAAGAGGATGCATACTCAGAAGTCTGCAGGACTTCTTAGAATACCACGAATGTGGCCTTACATTCTTTAACAGGATAGTTTCTGTGCGTGTCCAAGAAGCATGAAGGCCTCCATGTTCTTGATTATGACCCCTGTTTAATGCCTGTCCCTGGACCCTGTGTAATATGCAATGTCTTGCCATTCTGTTACAGGGTGTTCTATCAATTTATAGCACTATTAATATTGTAAGAACTTATTCCTTTTCAACAGTCATTCTAACAAATTTTTCATAGCAATTAGATTTCTTTCATTTCCCACATTATTGCCAAAATGAGTTTGGCTTATTGGCTCATACACATGCATACAAAATTCCTTGCTATCTCTTATTCTAAAACTAGAGGAAATGACTGAGGTCATTGCTCATTCTTGCTCACTTCATTGTGACATTTATTTTTCCCCAATTTTTTCAGAACTTTTCTGTCCAATAGAGCAAATTTTCAAGAGCAAAAGACAATTTTCAAAAAGCCAATCTCTGTTTTGACCATGTGACATTTGGTCATCCTAGTTGGGTCTCAGTTGTGTTATTCAGAAGTTAATGAATAATTGTTCCATCGTTTTAGGAACAATAGGGGCAATAGGTTTGTAGTTTTGGTGCTAATCATATTTGACAATATTCCATCTTGAATGGATAGATCCCCGCATTGAGATGGCATCTCCTGTCCCCACAATGGATTCAGTGGATGATGAGGTCCTGTTGACAACACATGCATCACCTGAGCCAACCAAGGCTTCTTTCTCCATGGGTGCTGCAGAAGATTGGCAGTTGCCTCTCAAGTATCGACGACGACCTCTCGATGACTATGAGATTGAATACATCAATGTGAGCACTGTTCCTATCATTTCTTCTATCATTAGGCTCTGTATGAGATTCATGGGTTCATCAGATCATGGTGTTTGAGAATTGGAATCCCATGGCACTTCATGCATGTAGGCTGAAATACTTTTCCCATCATTATAGCTTCTCTTCCCATTTAGTTGAAAGTAGATAGCAACTCTTGTTTTAGGGATGGATGAAGTAAAAATGTTGAAAGTGTTATTTTTTATTAGGTTGTTTCACATGAAATGTCCGATTTTTCTCTATACAGGCAGTCCTCGACTTACGACGCTCCGACTTACGACACTTTGACTTAGGACGCTCTAAGCCTAGGGCTGAAGGAGTCATTGACATGTAGGCCTGAGGCCTCCCCCGTATTACCGTCATATGTCGAGGACTGCCTGTACAATATGATGTCTTCAAAAGAATTGAGACTACTTTTTTTGTATGAGTTCAAATTGGGGCACAACGCAGCTGTAGCCGCGAGTAACATCGACTTGGCGTTCGGGAAAGGGACTGCTAACCAGCGGACTATTCGGCGGTGGTTCGAAAAATTTCGATCTGGAGACATGAATCTCGAAAATGAGCCCCGAGGAAGGCCTGAATCTGTTGTGAATGAAGAACATTTAAGAGCCATTGTGGAAGCTAACCCACAAACAACAGTTCGGGCTCTTGCAATAGACCTAGGTGTTTCTATTGCAACTGTTTCTCGACACCTGGCTGCAATAGGAAAGGTGAAAAAATTGGACAAATGGGTGCCGCACGAATTGACGGACAGCCAGAAACTGCGACGCCTGGAGGTGTGTTCATCGCTGATGGTCAGGAACAACAAAGAGCCATTCTTGGAGCGAATCATTACCTGCGACGAGAAATGGATCCTGTACAATAACCGGAAAAGAAGTGGACAATGGTTGAATGCTGGTGAAGCTCCAAGACATGCACCAAAACCGCCATTGCACCCAAAAAAGGTCATGGTGACAGTATGGTGGTCTGCAAAGGGAATCATACACTATTCTTTTTTGCAACCGGGACAATCAATTACAGCAGAATCATATTGTCAGCAAATTGAAATTATGCATAAAAAATTGGCCACCGAACAGCCAATATTGATAAACAGACAAGGACCGATTCTGCTGCACGACAATGCTCGACCCCACACGTCACGAACCACCGTGGGAAAATTAACAGAATTGGGCTATGAAATTTTGCAGCATCCACCATACTCACCTGACCTTTCACCAACAGATCATCACCTTTTCCGTCACTTGGAGCTGTTTCTCCGGAATAAAACATTCCGGGACCGAGAGGCTGTAATTGGAGCATTTGAGGAGTTTGTTAATTCAAAAAATGTAGAATATTATAGAAATTGAATATTTTCCTTAGTATCCCGTTGGGAGAAGACAATTCAAGCTAATGGAGCATATTTTGATTAAATGAAATTTTATTTGTTAAAAATATCTCATCTTTAAAATCGGACATTTCATGTGAAACAACCTTATAATACTAGCAGATGGCTTAAAAAATGCCATACATTTTGAACCATCTGTTAGTATTTAAAACACCATTGACAGAGGTTTGAGTAAATTAATGTCTGGAATCATGCCATTCTGGAACCACATCCTTCATCATTCAATACAGCATAAGTTTGTTAGTCAAGCTAAAAGGTGAAGTCAGAATAAGTTAAGATTTTGCATAATCAGGAGGTTTGCAGACATTCAGATTGATGAAACAATTAAGTTCCACCTTAAGTGACATTAATACATTGTAATCTAGTTGCAGAAATGCAAACCAACTTGATGTGTCTCAACTTGTATGATGTACTCATTGATGGAAGGAAATTTGCAGCAGAAAGTCATTGAGTTTGATTCATCCAAAAATAGCAATTTGGGTAGAGAACTGAGGCAGGGAGTAAAATGAGGTTACTTCCCATGGCAGGGATTGAAGTTTGAAATGAACTAAGTGGGCCTTTATTTACATTTTTTTTGTCCCCACATGTTTGACTTCTACAATTTGATATGAAGTGTGAAAAAACCCCAGCAATAACATATGAACCTGGGGAGCATATCCTTGGAGTAACCACTCAACCCATATTGGGGGACTCTGTAAATATTGCAAGAGGGCAAAAGCTCTGCACCTAAAAATTCATTGTATAGCTTAACTGCTGCCAATGATAACATTGTCTTGGAGACCTGTCATATGTATTTAATTTTTAATAATTTCTCTTGTTTAAAATAATGGCATTTCCATTTCAATCTGGATATATGAAATATCCAGTAGCAAGTCATGTTCTTTATTTTTTTATTTTGCAGAAAGGAGGTCCTCCAGAGCTGTAGAAGTCTTTTGAAGTCTAGTGCTGGTAGCTTTGATTGCTTTATTTAAGTGACAGATCTGTATTAAACATATATTCGTCCAAGATTGAGATTGCAATTTGATCCTTTGATCTTCTTTCTTATGCTCTTTTTGGCAAGGTGTCCATTGATGGAAGAGGTTCCAGGATGCTGGTAACCTGCCAATTTCAATGTGTATGCTGTTATGTATCATATTTCACTGACAATTTAGCTTGTTGCCAAGAGTTTTATAGAATGTTTTTTCAATAAAATCTTTAGAATATCAACTCCAGAGGATTATGCTAACAAATAGGAACATCAACTTATTGTTGAGCAATGGTGAAGGAAATTTCAGAAGCAAAAGAGGAAGTGATGAGTATTCATGGCAGGTGTTTCAACAAGAAACAAATTTCGTCAGAGGCAGGACTGAGACTCATTGCACAAATTATTCTGCAGACTTCAAATATTTTTTTCTTTAGTGAATGGGAGGTTCATTTATTAGACTGACAAATCGCAAAGCATCAACTTTTTAATTTCATTTTCATTGGAATGATGGAGACTGGTCTCAGATTTGAGATTTAAATTATTTTTTTTTCTCAACTTGTCCTTGATTTTTTGACATTATGTGTGCCTGTGACATCCCATGGGATCATATACTACAGGTGGAACATGACCATACCATGCAACTGACTTCCATGGTACATGAGCTTAAGTTACTTTGATGAGAACGCTCATCAGTTGTGGGGTAACATCTTCCTGTGAGGAACAAATTTGAGGTTGCTGCTGCTCAGATTTCCACTGCTTCCATTGAGCAGTTTGCTACTAGATGCAACATGAGATTTTTCAAACTTGTTTTTTTTCACTCTGGTTGGACTGAAAATGAACAGGAGTACTATCTTGTAACTGGAAGGACAACTCTTGTGCAATTAGGGCATTAGTTTGTGCCACAGACAAAGAGAGGAGACTTTTGCACCTCTCAGCATCTTGTCCCATGAATGTGCATAAAGCCATGGCTGCCTCCATTACTTCCTCTGGGGAAGCACCACCAAGGATAAGGCTAATATGGTTGTTAGCCATTGGCTGACAAACTTTGCAGCTGATGTGTAGCTCTGGTTGTAGGAAGATCTTCCTGAGTTGCTTCTTTAACCTTGGATTGTTTGTGATTGGTTGTCTCTCATAGACAAAATCCCCTTAGAAGCCCAATAGGATCATGATGTCCATCTCCATAATTCATTCTCCTGGGAAGTTGACAACCCTTCCGAGATAGATCTCATGAAATTTCAGTGTTGTGATGACAAATGATGTAGTTTGTGAGTAACATGGGCAGGATGTCTTAGAAGACATTATTGTCCTTACAAATCCCATTAAGTGTTTTAAGATTTGGAACATATTTGGATAAGACATTATGAATGCATGGTACCACTACTTTTAACTTTGGCAAAAACTAGAATGACTAGAAAGACTAGATGAGATGTGTTTTATTTTCTGTATGATAGCCTAAATACCATGCAACCTTTTGCACAGGGTATCTGGTGAAAATGGTCTCCTGCAGCAGGAGAAAATCTTGATTACTGTTTTGAACTGCTAATGGGGCATCAGAAGGGCAGAGTGTGGTATCAGTGCATTACTGCAAAAACAGCATATATTGGAACGAACTTTGGATGTTGCAGGCTTCCATTTGCACATGATTCATGCATTTATCAGTAGAACATTTTTGCCATAAAAAAAATTTCTGTCACTTGTTAATATCGATTTTTACAGACCTGTGCATAGAGGAGTATCACTTGCAGTGTCAATGTCAAACATCTGAAATATTGGATGTCTTCAAACATTTCTGCACAAAGTTTTTTTAGCCATGTTTTGTAATCCTTAAACAAGGAAATTGCAACCATTCCTTTTATAAAGTCAGCTGTGTTTTCGCTGTAGGTAACATATACTTTTTTCATGAGTTTTGGTCACACAGAATTCTGTTGCAAATGAAACAGTATCTGTCTGTAGATCACTATGTCCTGCCTTTTGCCTACCTATGAATGAAAGTCAGAGATAGGGGACATATTCTTCATTCTGTGATGACAGTTAGGCCTGTCTGATGCTACCTGTAATTGCATCACACTGTGTCAAATCGCTGCTATCTGCTCGAACCAGGAAGCACAGCTGGCTTGTCTTGCACTCTACATCACATTCTTGGATGTCAGGAGATGAAGAGTTTCGGTGGAGATACCTAATGAAAGACAAAATATTTGAGTGTTATTTGCTATTTCCTTTTTTTTTTCCCTCTGCCACAAACTTACATCCAGAATTCTGCAAACAGAGCATCATCTTGTGCTATTGCAAAGGCCAGGTCACTCCATGACTCTGGTTGAAGATTGGGTAGGCCATACGTTGCACGTGCTTCGTAGAGGCGATACCAGTTTGGTTCCCCTGAGAGGTTGGCCTCATCCAAGTTGAATGTCCATGTCTCATGGTCAATGATAGCCTATTTAGGAAAGAATTTATGCTGTGTTGCATTTTTTTCTCTCAACTGTTTGAGGATAGATGTGGAAATGAATAACTAACGTATGTTGGATTCTCTGGGCTGGCATCTGCATAGTAGACTCGATAGGAAGGATTCACGTATGAATAAGGAGTCATACTGGGCCCAACATAACCCACATTTATGGCCCTTTCTGGATCCTCCGGATCATAGAAGACGATGAATTCATCTTCATGTGTATGACCAAAGAACTGCCCCATCACTGTGTGCTCATATCTATTTGGAATGATTATTAATTAAGACAATGTTGCTTTCATTTAGACAGTTGTTAGAAGAATGCTAGTAAAACATATAAATAATGGAAGCATTCTCTGGGCTTATCTGTGAATACCCATTTTTATCACTGAGGAGAAGTCTATTCCACCTTAACCCTTTCATTCCTGATTTATTTTCTTGCCATGGAAAAAATATGTCCACTTTTTGAGCTTCAACGAGGTCTGTGTAATATAGTAGTGCTTCTAAAATGGTTTCTTCAAATAAAGTTAAACGTATATTTCAATTATTGAAATAAATTAATAAAATCAAGCTATTTAATTTGTTAGCTAGGAATCATATCCCTATTTTACGTTGCATGTTTCCCTGTATTTCTGAACTACTTTATATAGTCTAGATGGCAAAAACATTTTAAAAATTGACTGAGAAAGAAATGTGTTAGCTGAAATAAATACAGTGTATCAAAAGTCCATACTCATGGGTATTTTGAATTAATTACAATTTTGAAAGATTGGGTGTGCCAAAATTAGGACAGAGATACTAATAAATATTCAGCTGGGTTTATGTGCCAGAACTTATATGTATGCATGTTCATGCCATGCAATTTGAAAATTTAATGAAATGAATATAATTTGTGAAATTTGCCTGAGTTTGGACTTTTGAAACACTGTTTAAATGATGGCACCATTTTTGAAGTGCCAGAGGAAATACAGCAGCCTTTTGTTATTGTGGACTGTTGTCATCTTGACAATATTTGGTGAACTGCTATAAACAGGGACTCAGAATCCTGCCATGGTCATGCCTTCCTATGTGGCCTTATGATGTTTGTGTGGAAAATACATGACTCCTGAGTCCTGCCAGAATTGAATGGGTTGAATTAACTTGGCCTCTTCTCTCTTGAGAGGGAAATGTATATGCAGTGTGTTCATAAAGCAATCACAAACTATCTTGTGACAACTTCTTAATAGTCAGTCAGATGCAGCTGATGTTTGACTGGTTACTGGCTCAGGAGGATTACTTTTCCAATCCATCCAGATGGTGGTGCATGTTTTATGGTTGGTGTTGTAGTCATATTTGCATGGAAGACATGACAATGAAGCCATTAGATATTGAAAGGAATAGAGCAGTTAATATTTAAAATTATTGGCATCCATCACTACAACTGCATGCGACCTGCACACATTAGCAAATGCTGCATAGGTTACTAATACTAGGATAACTCTAATCTTGTGTCCTTTCTGGATGGTAAATTGTGTATATATCACAATTTCAGAAATTCCATTTTGACAGGTAACCTTTACCACAAATCAATAGAGCACATTTTTGCACTGTTAGCTTTGCCATGTTATCTAAAGTGTTTTGGACGGCAGAACATTTCTCTCTTTCTGCTCAATTATCATTGCTTTCTTTGCATGTGGTACCCTTCACAGCCATCTGGAGAATATGGAAAATAATCCTACCAAATCTGTCTACCATGCTGTTAAATATCTGCTGCATCAAATATTGCCTGCCTGATGTTGACATAAATAGTTATGACAATACTAAATTATGTGTTCTCTCTATGACATGCTTGTATTTTGGACTTATTTTGCATCACTGTCTGTCAGTTATACATAGCCAAGCCAGATTTTAGGTATTTGATTTTCTAAATTCACTTCAGAATGGATGGAATATGGATTTCTCTCAAATCATGGAGAAGTGAGGACACAAGCACTGATTGATTAGAACTTAAGGATTTTCATCTTCCTCAGAGAATTAACTACTTCTTATGGTGTATGTAAAAACGGCTTCAGGGGTTAAAAAAAGTCTGTCTCCACCTAATTATCGTGCTATTGATTAGTAGAGGGAAGAGGATGTGTTCCATAGCATCTTTGCTGACTTTCCATCTTTTTTTCCATTGACTAGTTGTAGCCTGTAATATCAACTTTTCCATGATCCATATTCTTAAACAATTATGATGCATGCTGCACTGCTGATTTTTCGCATGTATATAGGCCAAATAATTCAATCAATTCACTATATCAGAACCTGCTGATGATGCGACGATAATTATGACTCCAGGTTGGAAGACAGTCAGTGTCCCCTGGAGGAATGTGACCAAGAATCCAAACCTTCTCATCAGCCAGTTCAGCAGCTTGGAGTTCATTAATGAGCCATTGCAAGTGATTGTCAGGATCAGGGATACTCAAGTCCTGCCACATGAACCTGAGTATAAAGTTGGAGAGAAGTATTTATATAATTTGCAGGTTGAAGTCAATTGTAATGTTATTTATGTTGCTGAACAACATCAATTTCATGTTATATTTTCTATTCTTCTGAAAAATTTTTCTGTTCTACGGTATATGATCAATGCTCTGCTCTCAATCACAAACCAGTTATTAATATAGCAGAACATATTGTTGATGGTGATGATTCGGAGTCCCGGTAAAGCTGCAACAGAATAGTATGCTCCATGTTGGACATTTGAAGCTTGATCTTCTGGTAGCCAATCCATCCAGTTTGCCCAAAGTGCATTGTAAAGCCAATCAGTCGAAAAGTCCTCTTCGAGCACATATTCTGGGGAGAACCTAGAAGACCAACATTAATTTATAATTCACTGGAAGAGAATTTTTAAAGCTATGATCAAAAATTCAGATACTATTACATATTCACAAGTGAACATAATAAGTTTATGGGAAAGATTCTCACACATTCACTGGCCAGGCCTCATGGTTCCCAACAACAGGGAAGATGGGGGTAGTAGGGAAATACTCCTTCATCACAGCTACAGTGATATTGATTATACCCAGATTTTCTTGCATGCTCTGATCCCAGACATCATGTGGAGGCTGATCTCCAGTCCAGATGATGATATCTGCATCCTGGAATATGAATGCACAAGCATTGACTTCAATTATTCTGCATCTCATTGTAAGTCTGTGACATATGGGATTTCTTATTGTGTGACTGTTGAAAGACTTTATGATTTAATTTAACTCTTCTTGCTGATCTAATGATGTTGCAGAGTGAGCAAGTTTCATGTTGACATTTCTTCAATGCACTTCTCAATCATATTGTTAACTATGCTTGCATACAATTTACTTACTTCCAGGATGGACCAACTCCATTGTTTCATTCAGCACAATGCTACCTAACCCATATCCTATATAATGAATTAAGTATTAAGTTTTTTTTTACCCTGTTACTCCTGAGCATCGTTTTGAGGCAGTATCCCTTCATTAATATGTTTCAGGCTTTTTGTCATAATAATCTGAATCATGTGTAACCCTTATATAGGGTGTCCCATGAGTTAATTTAACAAAGGTTTTTCAGCTTTACTAATTTATTTGGAATCTCAGTTTGTTATAATTGTCATATTTTATCATTGTTTTGTTTATTAATTATCATTATTGTCAATACATGCTTATATTTTCATTTCATTTGGAGATGGTTAGATACATGATTTGAGAACAGTGAGTTGCTGTACAATTTTGGTATATACTTCTATATAATGGTGGACAGCAATTAGTAGACTTTTGCATCAGGAAATTCTTCCTGGAAAGTTATTGGCACCCCTTTAAAATTTCTTCCCAACATCTACCATATTTCAAGTTAAAAAATCCACTGGTCTCAAATCATGCATCTATCTATCTCTTGAAATGAAAATAAAAGCATGTGTTAACAATATTGATAATTAATAATCAGATCAATAGTACAGCCTGTTCAGGCCCAGAAAGGGCCACTTTTAATCCACAAAGGAGCCCAAGTAGCTCATTTGTCATATTATTCAAGCCCTCAACCCCTTCCTTCCCTCTCCTCTAAATGTCATTCTTGCCCACAGCCTAAGGGCAGGTTCAATGGCATCCTGCTCCAAGTGGGGAGGTGGGCTGGCCACCCCGACCTGAGATGCAGATCACTCAGCATGCGAATTCTTGTAGACTGTCTTACGCTAAGCTTCCAAGTACACTGTTGTTGCCCTTTTTACGACTCTGTTTGTTTGGTCTCCTGCTGGGCTTTGACAGGCTTTGACAAGTTATAAGAAATGTCACACCAATATGGGTCCATGCCGACTGGTCCTTTCAGGGACTGGATGAGCTGTATCATGCAATATTTATTTTAAAAAAACCAAGGTTGCTCAAAAATTAGCATTGCTGAAAATTCATTGGTAAACTGACTTATGGGACACCCTGTATATCTTTACTCAGTACTCCTATATCTTCTGGCAATTAAAATTTCACTTGACATTCACATTTATTCATTTCTTTTTGCTTTCTTTCTTCACTGCCTCTCACCAATGTATTTCTTTCATTCTAACCCTCTTTTTTTTTTTTTTTTTTTTTTTTTTCTGTTTTTATTTAATGGCCACCAAAAGTTTTGCAACACCTTCTTCATGATCAAAATTTTCAGCACCTGTGAAATCTTTGGAAATATTTATGTTCTCATCCAGCTTAATCTGTTACCTTTGCAAAGCCACTTTGATCAATGAAAGCACTTACTGGATGAGTCTGTACCACATGTTCCAATGTCTTCCGAACTGTTATCAAAGGAGAGTCACAGTCACGATAATCTCCAAACTTCCCAGCTGCTTCCTCAGGTGTTGGGGCTGGTCCATTTTTAGATTGGCAGCAGTGATACAGACCACAGTTGGCATTTGCACCTTCTGCATATTCAGGGTCAAAGTGAGTGTCAGTCAAGTGGACAATCTTGAGACGAGGTGGATCATCCTAGAATGATAGGTGTATTCTCTTAAAGGCATTGTGCAGGTCTCTTTGGTGACATAATTTTGTGACCATGAAAGATACAGACAGGAATGATCGAACTGATATTTGGTTTGGGGATATCAGGAAGTTCCACCTCCCAGTCAAAGCCTGGAGGTTCATCCAGTGTACATTCACTGCCTGCTACAAGGTTGCAGAATAGGGGCACGTTGAGTTGGCCATTCAGGACAATGTAGATGGCAATGGGCTGGAAAGGAACACAATTGCTATTATGAGCCTGAAAGGACTTCTATTTTTTAATGATGAGGTATGCTAGCATTTGTTTTTACCACAAATGCAGAGATGAGACCCTCGCATACAATAGGTTCTTGTCCAAAGAGGTCGCATAGACCCATGGCTGCCTCCTCTAGTTCTTCCTCAGACATTCCACCATTGATAAGATCAATGTAGAGATTAGCTGTTGGCTCACATAGGAAGCAGTCAATGCGTAGTTCCCGTTCTGGGAAGAATATATTCCTCAATTGTTTTGTAACCTCCAGGATGGTATATTTTGTAGGGAGTCCCTCTTTGACCAAGTCCTTGTAGAGGTGCACCAGGCTTGTGATGTCCTTCTCTTTCATGCATTCTCCTATGAGATCCAAAGACCCATTTGAGGTACGTAAATGGAATTCCATTTTTGTGAAATGGTAGATGTATATTCATGGTGACTGGACAACACTTTAAAGTTTTAGGACACGAACTAATATTATTTTAAGAATTCTGTTATGGATTAATCTATTAGACATATGCCAGCAGGTTTTACGATGCATGGGCCTACAGCATTAGCTGTAGGCCCATGTTTTCACCTCAGAAACAGGAGGTAACCAATGGAATTATCTTTTCAGTATTTCCATCATCAGGTGATTTTTAGTACTAAGTCATCCATAGGCTGCAGCAGCCTGGATATAATTTACTAATTGATTTAATAAAATCTCACTATTCAATTAAATTAAATCCGTCTTCTTCCATCTGTGACATTGTCCTATCCTTGTACTTGATATGCCTTTCTTCATTTTACTATGATCCATCTTGCATAACATGTTCAAAAGCAATTGCATGATGCTCATATTCTGAATAAGACTTACCAAAATCTATGCAGCATGAGAGCAGAAGAACAATAGGGAGTTTGAGAGAGAGCATCTTGATGTGATGTACTTCCTTCCACCAGATCAGATGATGTGGCAGCCCAACAGACTATCATAGAGAATAGCCAGGTTTAGTAGCACATGTGGCAGAAATCCCATGCATCTCCAGTGCATGTGGTGAATTTCCCTTTATATAAGCAGGATGTGTCTATCCTGTGTTGCATCACTTATATGAGAGAAGAGCAATCATGTGAATATCTATTCACAAACAACTTTGTTTGCTCCGTGGACAAAGTTCTTGAGTCACAAAAACTCACTGGATTTTATGCATTTATTATGATTTAACTTCAAACTTGAGCATAGTAAGATTCTTAGCTTCCCCCCCAAAGGTCACCCATGGAAAATTTTCATTATACATTAGCCTTTATAGCACAACTATGAGAACTATTTTCTTCAAAGTACAAAAAGTTTCAGAAACTGCCCCCCCCCCCCCCCCCCCACTCCCCAAAAGGGTCTCCAGGGTGCTATGCTGACTGCATATACTGTATATAGAATTTTCCCTATAACTATATGCTTATGAAATTTCAGCTTTCAGAAGCAAGTAGATATAAAAATCTACATGTTTCACAGGTGCAAAAGATTTCAGGAAAGTACATCTTCTTAAAATGTGCCCCAGAGGATGAAACCAAAAAGTAGCATTTTTTCTTCAAATTAAGTCCTCAACAGCTATTGATATAGCTGTTGAGGACTTAGGCTTTCTATATATGCCTGAATTGCTGAAGGAAAAGACTTTAATGAAATAGGTGTTGTGATCCATCCCCCTCCAAAAAAAATAATGATGTACATATGTTGTGCCCCCAGGGGATATACTCCTAAGCTAATATGTTCTCTAAAATCCACATTCCAAGAGCTACTTATCTGCTAAGTTTCTGCTTTCTTTGTCTGACCTTTTTACTAGAAATAAAATTTCAGAAACACACCCCCAGAAAATGTACCCCAAAAGGAGACTTTTTTCTTGGCTCAATATCCCAAAAGCTACCTAAGCAAGTTTCAGCTTCCCTTCATATCTAGAACATGGTGAGAATTAGCATCAGTCACTCTTTCACAATTGTCTGTCAATGTTTAGTGATTGATGTCCTTCATGAGGGAGAAGTAAAGAAATAATGCCTTGCTAGAGATTCAGCCCTTTATTTTTAAATTTTACTGCTGATTTATATTGTCATTTGTGTGCCTGAAGAAACCTTTCCAAAATCAGAGAATGACAACCTTCTATAATTTGCATGAAGGCTGCTTATGAGGGTTCAGAAAGTTCCCATAAACATTTTCTAAAAACCAAACCAGCAGCTGTATTGCAGTGAAAGTTGGTACACAAAAAGAAGTCCTCAATATAGTCCCTTGAAAAATAGATGCACCTTTTCCATTTGTGGTAAATGCTTTTATTCCTCTTCAGTAAAAGTCTGTATCTTGTTCATGTAGCCACTTTTTTGCAGTATTTTGAATATCTGGCCTTTCAGTAAAGTTTTTTTCTCAAGGGTAATTTTTCTTCATACCAAACGGATGGTAGTTAGATGGGATGAGATATGGGCTGTATAGCAGGTGAGTCAGAATAGCCCACTGGAACCTGGGGATAATTTGTTTCGTATTGAATGTCGTGTGAGGACAGGCATTATTGTGAAGGAGGCCAAGATGGGCATCAGGCCTTTTTCTTCTTAGTGTAGTCTTGAGCTTTGTCAATGTCTGCCAATATCTGTATGCTTTCATCATTATATTCAAGAAAATCAATCAGAAGCAGTCTTTTATCCCAAAAATCCATTGCCAGGATTTATTTGGTGGATGCTTGTGCTTTAAACTTTTTCAATCTTAGAGATCTTTGACGCTGCCACAGGTTTGCTTTGCTCCTTTGTTTATGGTTCAAAGAAGGATAACTGCATCTCATCTGTCACAATTCTGTCAAGAAAGGTACATTTTTCTCATGCATTCTTGAGGCAGACATGTGTCTGGTGCATATAAAAAAGCATCTCTTTAATGGAAACTATGTCCAGCTGAGAGGACAATGAATGAAAGTCAAGGAGTGGGGAATATGCTCATCCTTCATTCAATGTTGACATTTAGTGTTGTTTGACACTTCCTGTAATTGCATCACACTGTGTCAAATCACTGCTATCTGCTCGAACAAGGAAACACAGAGTGCTTGTCCTGCACTCTGCATCACATTCCTGGATGTCAGGAGATGAAGATTCCCTGTGGCGATACCTAAAGAAAGACATGAAGTATTTCAATGTCATCTACATTTTCCTTCTTTCTTTGTTCCATATCACAAACTCACCTCCAGAACTCTTCAAACAGAGCATCATCCTGAGCCATTGCAAAGGCCAGGTCACTCCATGAACCTGGTTGAAGATTGGGAAGACCATAAGCTGTACGTGCATCATAGAGGAGGTACCAATTTGGTTCCCCTGAGAGGTTGGCCTCATCCAAGTTGAATGTCCATGTCTCATGGTCAATGATGGCCTGTTTCAGGAAGAATTTATGCTCTGTTGCACTCATTTTCTCTCAGTGGGATGAGGATAGATTTGGAAATGATAAACTGACATATGTTGGATTTTCTGGGCTGGCATCTGCATAGTAGACTCGATAGGAAGGATTCACGTATGAGTACGGAGTTATACTGGGCCCAACATAACCCACATTTATGGCCCTCTCTGGATCATCCATATCATAGAAGACTAAGTATTCATCATCATGTGTGTGACCAAAGAACTGCCCCACCACTGTGTTCTCATATCTAAATAGAAAGATTATTCATTATAACAGCATAGTTTCCTTCATGCTAAGTGTGGAGAAATGAAGCCAACATCACTACTTAATAGGACTGTACTAAAGATATTTACACCTAGAAGCATTAGCCATCAGTATGGCACCATTGGCTGTCTGCCTATTGCCATGCTGCAGTACCAATGCCCAAAGAAGAATTGCAGAGTAAAGAAAAAGAAGGGGGGAAAATCCTCATGAACAGGGCTTGGTAACTGCTTCTTAACTGCCATTGGAAAAGTTAATTGTGTCCTGATGCATCCATTGATCTGTGAATGTCATTTTTGATAGTTGAAGGTATTGTAACCTTTATTACCCATTGTGAATATCACACCTCCCCTCTCCCCCTCATGCTCTGATCCCCTGATCAAGGCAGAAAATGATGGAAGTCAAACCTCTACCTAATTGTGACAAGAAAAGCTTGAATCCTAATTATAGGTATTTTTAAATAAAAAAATTTGATAAAATGGTTCTTTGCTATATATTTACCTGTCACCATATGGGGGCATAGGCACTGGCCAATAGGTATTAGATCATATGCAACCATCAGCCAAATGTGGCCATCAGTACAGCCTAGTTAATTTGTGGAAGTGTCCTCTGCTCGTAGTTGCTTTTTTTTTTTAGCACTGGGGAATAGTCTATTTCATTTTCAGTCTTCCATGCTTTCTTTCTCAGAAAGGAAAACATTCATATTTACAGTATATCTTGCCTATTATCTAGCCCAAAGACATTCTCTAGCCTCCTTATTGCCATTGTGATGGTTGTTGATTTTGGAAACTAGAAGGGGAAACTTCAGTCCAGAAAGGATGATGGATAGAATTCACTGCAGTAATTTAGAATAAAGCAATAACACAGGCATTCAGAATAGCACAGCAATAGCACAGGCATTTTTGTACTTCTCCCATTTCATTAGCCACAAAGGGACACACTAACTCCTTCTAGACACTACCAACACTAGTCAATTACTATCAAATTGTCATTGGTTAGTGATTTGTAAAGATGACATATTTTCATTTTTGCAGTCTTTTCAAATTTTTTCCTGGTGTGCCATGTAACATGACCTATGCCTTGCACTTTGCGGTAAACATTTTTTTTGCCCTCTGGAATGCTGCTTTTATTCCTGTGATTATTGTGGATCTGCAGATTAGCTAAGTAGACTCTTCTAACGAGTAATGACTAGGAGTAAACAATGAGAACCTATTGATGATGCGACGATAATTGCGACTCCAAGTTGGAAGACAGTCTGTTGACCCTGGAGGAATATGACCAAGAATCCAAACCTTCTCATTAGCAGTTTCTGCAGCTTGAAGTTCGTTAATGAGCCATTGCAAGTGATTGTCAGGATCAGGGATGTTCAAGTCCATCCACAAGAACCTGAGTATCAAGTAGGAGAGAAATTTGTAATCATTTTTATGGCATTCACATATTTCAACTGTTTTGCAAAGTCATTTATGCTGTTGAACGTGATATATTTCTTGTGAAATTTACCATTGTTCAGAGACTTTGCTGATAGCTAATGCTAAATGAGCAATACTTTGCTCTTGTTCACAAACCAGTTGAGGGCATAGCAGAACATGTTGTTGATAGTGATGATTCGGAGTCCAGGTAGAGCTGCAACCGAATAATATGCACCATGTTGGACATTGGCAGCTTGATCTCCTGGTAGCCAATCCATCCAGTTTGCCCAAAGTGCATTGTAAAGCCAATCTGCTGAAAATTCTTCCTCTGGTACAAATTCTGGGGTGTATCTAGGGCATCAATTTATCGTTCACTTGAGAATTTCTAAAATTTTGATCAGAAGTTATAAATGTATGAAGTATTTGCAGATAAACATAATGAATTTAAGGAAGATGTTCTCACATGTTTACTGGCCAGGCCTCATGGTTCCCAACAACTGGGAAGATAGGAGTGCTTGGAAAGTACTCCTTCATGAGAGCCACTGTCACATTGGTTGTGGCCACGTTTTCCTCTATGCTCTGATCCCAGATGTCATGTGGAGGCTGATCTCCAGTCCAGAGAATAATGTCTGCATCCTGGAATATGAATGCACAAATAATGACTCTAGTTATTCTGCCTCTTCTCATAATTCTGAGACGTATGGGATTTAATTTTTTAGGGCCATTGGCAGACTTTATTGTTAGATTTTGTTCTCCTTTTTGTGTGTCTTGTCATGTCAAACATTGTGACCAAGTTTCAATTTTATTGTAATTTTTCTTCAGTGCACTTGGCCATAGTGTGAGCTATGTTTGCATCCAATTTCACCCCCTCACTTTGGGTGGTTGTTTCATTCATCACAATGCCACTCAGCCTTAGTTGCACAAAGGGTGTTAACCATTTCTGGTCCACTGGCAGACATAGTCTGCCAATCTCCCTAGTGTTACAAATAAAATGGATTGCAAAGGGTTGAAAATGAATTGAGTGAATTTTTTCTGTTCACCTATGGGAGGTGATAATGTAGAAAGAGGGCCACAGTCAATAAAGTAATAGGTTGAAATGAGTTACAACTTAACAGAGGGAAGGAGTTAACACTTTTCAGATGACAGGATGGCTCAGCCAGCTTTCCCCTCTTTTCCCCTCTGGATTATGAGATGTATTAGATGTCCAAAATTTCAATTGTCTTTATTGATGTAAATGCTGTATCAGCTGGTAGGAAAAGGTTAAATTCATAGAAGAAAAGTTTCTGATCTACTACCATTTGATGAATTTATAGAATTTTCATAAAATAGATGAAAAACTCAGTTGCTATGGCATAGTGCACCCAGAAACCATCATACAGAAAGTGTTAAAGAACGTATTCAGAGCTGAGAAGTATTCCTCAGTCTGAATACTATGAGTGCTTCAGCAAGTGGGTGATGAAGGGAGATTTATTGATGCAATAGGAAGGCATGATGTTGAAAGCTTTCACAGAGTGGAAGTTAAAAAAGTTGTGTTAAAATTTGCAATAAAAAAAGTTTGTACAGTTGACTCTGCATAATGGAATGCTCTGCTTAATGGGATACCATTGCACAGTCCCAATTTACAATACAATACAACAGATAGTTTTAGTTATTAGAATACTCTGGATTATAGAATAAAGTTTGCTGGTCCCATGAGTATTCCAATGTGCTGAGTCATCTGTATTTCCTTCTCCTTATATTGTCATTCCCTGTTTCTCTTTCCTGTATGTGTATTATTTTAACTTTCTTCCTTCTGTTGTTGCACCTGCCCCACCCCGATAAATCCATCTCTACAATGAATGAAAACACTTACAGGATGAGTTTGTGCCACATGCTCCAGAGTCTTCTGAACTGTTATCAAGGGAGCATCACAGGAACGATAATCCCCATACTTCCCAGCTGCCTCCTCTGGTGTTGGAGCTGGCCCATTTTTAGATTGGCAGCATAGATACAGTCCACAGTTGGCATTTGAACCTTCTTCATATTCAGGATCAAAGTGAGTATCAGTTAGGTGGATGATCTTCAGGCGAGGAGGATCATTCTATAAAGACAGATATATTCTCATGGCAAATTTGGTGAATTTGATGTGCTGGACATGGTTCACTTGATTTGTGATGATGAAAATGCGAACAGGAATTTCCAAACTGATATTTGGTTTAGGGATGTCAGGAAGCTCCAGTTCCCAGTCATGGCCAGGAGGTTCATCCAGGGTGCATTCACTATCAGCAACAAGATTGCAGAACAGGGGCACATTGATTTGGCCATTCTGGACAACATAGTATATGATGGGCTGAAAATGAACAAGATTGCCATTATTCAAGTGCATGGATTACTTATGTTCAACTTTGAGGTATTGCTGGCATTCATACTGCAAAAAGGTAGACTAGACCTTCACAAACAACAGGTTCTTGTCCAAAGAGTTCGCATAGACCCTCAATTACGCTTGTCAAATCTTCTGGTGGTGTGCCACTAAGGATTTGATCAATGACAAGTTCAGCTGTTGTCGTGCAAATAATGCAGCCAATGCGCAGCTCCTGTTCTAAGAAGAAGATCTTCCTGAGTTGCTGTACAACTTCTGGGATGGTGTATGTTGATGGGAGTCCATGGTTGACCAAGTCCTTGTAGAAGTGCACCAGGATTGAGATGTCCCTCTCCTTCATACATTCTCCTGTTTAATCCAACAGCCCATTTTAGATGCATTTATGCAGAATTCATGCACAAGGATCATTCAATAAATAGGATGGCAAGTAGATATAGCTAGCTTCAAAATTAAACACAAATGAGTTGGTTGGTTTATGTCGCCTTATTTATCCGCATCATCTTCATGCACATTTAGGCCCTTGCCCCACTTTGAAGAAATTTCAATACGCCCTTTGCATATGTGTGTGTAGGCTGGTGTGCTAGTTACTGCTGGACAGAACATAGAACATCCTCCTCCATGATGCAGCAAAGTCCTCCAAAATCTGCCTTCAGAAGACTAATCTCCCAGTGGGAGAAATGAGCAAGTAACTTGGGGTTAGATCGAGCCTAAAAGGAGGATGTTGGTTGGCATTACTCTCATCACATGTTGGATAATGTATCCAAGTTCCATAGACTTGTGGCTGAGCTTTGTCATGAAAGAGAAAACCCTCATGTGAGCAGCCCAAAGGGGTTCCTCCCTTTTGACAAGCATATGTCAATCAGCATATGCTAACACCCTTTCAATGGATTTCCATGGATGTGGTACCTGTAACACACAGGAACCTTACTACAGCCATTCTTCTATTTTTCAGGATCATGTATTCCACCTTTGATGTATTGTCTAATTGGTTTTGCTATTTCTGAGAACTGTCTATGGGACATTAAGTTATTGGTACCATATGCTATTGCCCATAACTGTAGCACTGCATGGTCTCCACCTTCATTGGTCCATCTATTTATTGAATGACCCTCATATTATAACAGGTATAGAAGGAAAAGGTGATGGGGTCTGTGAGTTACATGATAATTGGAAATTTCTGTTTGCAATGGGTGTGAAACATGTGCTCATTCTCATTCCTGCCAGATTACTTTGAAGTTGCCTTATTTATCCAAATGGCCTTTAGAGTTATACTATTGAGGACTAAATGCTGTAATTTTGTATTCTTAACCTTCAGAAAATATTTTGAATGCACAATTGATGAGGTTGTAGTTTATTTTCCATACTGTCCAGGCATCAACACATTGGACCTGTTCTTTAACAAAAAAATTGACAAAGCCTTCTCAAGATGGTAACTATTTTTGTATCAAGCTGATGAGTGCTGCTTTCAAAGCGAACTGACAATTTTGATCCAGGCATGAGTGAATTAAATTAATGTAGTTAATGTCATGGTTCATTGATCTGGTGATTATTAATCTCAGATCTTGGTGAGTTTTAGCACTCAGACCAAACCATTCATGAGCAGAAGATGCCATTCCTTTACTGATTTCACCTTTTTCAGTGTTTTCAGGGTCATTCATCATGGTTCCTGGCGTATGGGCTCAATTTCTTTGAATTCATTTTTTTGCCATGCTCATATAGAAATCAATTTAACTGAGTTAATCTTCAGCCTCTAATGTCCATTCATGAAACAAAACCAAACCTAATCAAGTACTTGTGGCTCATGACATCATTTCATTTCCACTGAATTCAGGATCAGATCCATTGCTTATCATGCCAATTAAAATTCAAATGATATTCACATGCTAAAAAGACTCACCGATTCCTATGCTGCATGAAAGGAGAAGAAAAACCGCAGGAAGTTTCAGGGAGAGCATTTTGATGCACCTTGCTTCCCTCCACTACCTCTGGTGATGTGGCAGTCCATCAGAACTTTCTTGGGGGTGAAGGTAGGTATGCAGCCCATGTGGTTGGATTCCCATGCGTCACAAGTGCAGATGGTTAATAATAGAAACAGGATGTCTCAATCTTGCTTACAATGCATCACTCCATGACCCTAGAGTATCCTTGAGAACATTGACACATGTTTGATGTCCTTGAAGGTAGAGAAGTGATACGTATGTCATCAAGAAAGTGTGTTTCACCTGGCTTGTGAAGATGTGATGCTTCACTGCCAATTCAAGCCTCTAATTTTAACATATAATCAGGGATAATTAATATTGACATCGCCTATGGATGGTCACTTTTGTGATAATTTTCTATGGCATGAAATCTTATGGCTCCAATGTTGTGGTAATTGGGATTTGTGTGTGATTGTGCATGTGTTGCATTTCCATGTTTATGAAGTCTCTTTGTGCTTTTGCAGTGCATTGTTACTGGGTGTCAGCATGTGTATCTTGTCTTGTTCCTGTTGCTCATTGGTTGGTTGGACAAGCCATTGCAAGTCCTTTGACACAAAGCCAAGGAATGATTGTTTTTGATCATGCATCAAAAAAGAATGACCACAACTTTGCATAAGTCATTGAAAGGCAGTCTCTACCATCCTTGAGAAGTAATGCTGACTTAAATCTAATTTATTCCAAATTATTATGATTTGATGGTCCAGTGATGTTGAATTGCATTTTCACCACCATTTTTGAGCATGTATGGAAGCAAATGTGTTTTCTTTCTTTACACTTTTTAGATTTTTGCTTCATGGGCACCAAGGATACTGAAAAAATAATCTATCATTATTGACTCTTAACTTCCTGGACTTCACCTCTCCACATGATAAATTTCCAGATTCAGTTGCTTTTGGATTTGGATTTGGAGTTCTTGTGGTGTCATCTTAAGTGACCACATATAAAAAATATAAAAAAAGAAAGAAGATGAATGCACAACTGAATGTAGCACAAGCAGTGCTACAATCAAGGAAAAGTTTGCTCTTTCCTTGTGTGTCTCATGGAAGAAACCATTAAATAGGAGCAGATTGCTGCTTTTGTCACCTTTGATTGGGAATGATATGTTTTGCCCTGTGATTCCTATTGTAAAACTTTAATTTTTGGTTTATTTTCAATTTTAAGACTCTTTTACCCTGTGAATACTCCTATAATGTGTCTTATTATTTATTCATATCCAGTCTTGATAAACTTGAGATGTGGTTGAATTTACTTAATTTTCTATTCTTCTCTCCCTCAGACAATAGATGAAAATGAAATGAAATGAGTGATGCAGATTTAGTTCCTGTGTCTCATGAGAAGGTATTGAAGTATGAAACATTCCTCAATGATGTGTTGAAAAGAGAGTTGGAGAGAATCAACAAAGAAAGGGACTCAGTGTTTGAGGAACTCAGTGACATTCTACAGTTAAGAAATACCCTTCAGGTTCTTCAAGACACTTCTCTCTACTCGTCAGGAAAATCCTTCAGGACTCAGGTATCGAAGCAGGAGTACTCATTCAGCAATATGTATAAGAAGGATGCACAAGTATACTTGTGGGGACATATTTTTTTAATGCCTTTGCCAAGTGTTTGAAGTGCATGATATTCCTGCTCTTAGCAGAATCATCAACTAAAAAGGTTCATTATTAAAAGATGTAGCTCACAAGGAAATCTTGATCCCATTTTGCCCTCAAGGTGGACCTTGGCTGTAATTTCTACGTGCAAGCAGAGGTGCCTGACACATCAAAGGTCCTTGTGGAAGTTGGATTTGGGTTCTACTTGGAGCTGACCATCCCAGAGGCACTTGCATACATAGACAAGAAGGAAGCGGTGCTGAATTGCAAGGCAGAGGACCTGGGAAAGAAAGGGGCAGAAGTGAAAGCAGACATTCGCTTGGTGCTGGAAGGACTCGCAGAAATCCAAGGACTCAGTGAGAAGAGAGACATAGAGCGTGGCCCTATCAGAGACATCTTTGCATGATCTAGTCTGTCTCCAGCCATGGCAAATTTACGGGTTCACTGCATCTCACTCACTCTCATTGCACTTCTCCTTTTCCAAGTGAGTTCCACATAGGCTCAGATCAGTTAATTACATGTTGTAAGCATATGTAATGTCCTGCTTCATCTCCTTTGTACTGCAGGGCTTGGAAGGAAGTGCTGAAGAGAAATCAGGCAGCCGGCATGGCAACAATTGGGCTGTCCTGGTTGACACATCACGCTTCTGGTTCAATTATCGCCATGTAGCTAATGTTCTGTCTGTGTATCGCAGCGTGAAACGTCTCGGGATTCCAGACAGGTTGGTCTGTCGTTAGCTTAAATCACCTTTGAATCTTCATTGCTTTTGGTGTTTAACCTTCTGACCTCATGAAAATGCAAATCCACAGGTTTACCTATCCAAAGCCTGTGTTTCCTCACCTAATTCCTTTGTAACAATAACTGCATCTGTTTTGGAGGTCTTGTTTCTATTGTGGTCTTGCTCTTGATTTCCAGGCAAGCAGCATTCTTGATGAAATATTGAATTTTTCATGGCAGTCAGATAATCTTGATGGTGGCAGATGACATGGCTTGCAACCCGAGGAATCCAAATCCTGCAACTGTCTTCAATAATGCTCAGCAGCACATCAATGTGTATGGGGAGGATGTTGAGGTGGATTACAGAGGCTATGAGGTGAGGTTTTCTTCTGCACCTTGCGGTCAAAATGACCTAAAAGATTTTATCATGAGTGATACAATGTTGGTTGCTCAGGTGACAGTGGAGAATTTTGTGAGGTTGTTGACTGGCCGACTGGCTGCATCAGTGCCGCGTTCAAAGAGGCTTCTCACTGATGAGACTTCCAATGTTCTTGTCTACATGACTGGTCATGGTGGAGAGGGCTTCATCAAGTTCCAGGTAGGCTGCCTGGGCAACTTAAATATAGCTGCAATGCATATTATATCATAATTGGAAACTTGTAATGTTGCAGCTTATTTTGGCCATTTCATTTGGATGTCTATATCAGTCTGTCAAACGAAGACTTGGTGTAAATGCATATTTGCATAAGAAGGAATGAAAGTATGCTACATTTGAGTGCAAATCATGAAAGGAATCCATGCATGAGTTACATTCAAGCTTGCATTTCAAAGTAGTCTTGCCCCTATTACAAGGGATTCAGATAACAGGATTTTCATTTATTTAACTGAATCCTTTTTCCCCACACACTTGCATGAGTATGTAACTAATTATATGAATTCTTCAAGTACTTTAAATTGGGGTAACTTGGAACAGTGAGGCATCTTGAAACAGCCTTTAACATAGAAATTCATGTTGTTTGAAAAGACATTTCCTTTCTGGCAGTTAAATTAATTTTACTTGTGATCATAGCAAAGATCCATTAGACAACTAGCCTTGACCTTGCAGTATGCTATAGCAGGGGTCGGGAACCTTTTTGAGCATGTTAGCCATATTAACCCTTTCATGCATGGTGTCCACTATAATGGACAGCGAAATTTTTGGCAATGATGGTGGCTTTTTAGATATGGTACACATAACTTGAAACTTTTGGTGTATGCAGTCAACTCAAGGGCATATCATCTCTTCAGTATACCTTTCTAGCAGTGAAACATGCTCCTACAACAGAGAAAAACTCGTTTGCGAAATGGTTAAGATTGAGCTAAGTGCTTGTGAGTGGAACATTTTCAGAACAACATAATTTTTCCTGAAGTTGGCAACAGACACATACATCCTTTGATACATGAGAAAAATGAGGAACAACCATGATTTTCAGCCATGACTCAATGAGCCAAAATTGTTCTGCCCATCAGCCAAATTTGGCTTATGAGCCATAGGTTCCTGATCCCTGTACTATAGCAAATACACCAATGTACTTCCACCAGGAAGGCTATGTTAAGGCTAAGTTAATGAAGGCTAAGGCAACAAAGGCATGGGATGTTTTTAGCAGTTTTCTTGTATTTGACATGATGGATTTTTAAAGCTGATTTTGGAGGTGTCAACTTGATTTCAGGATTCTGAGGAGATCACCAATGTGGAATTGGCAGATGCTTTTGAGCAAATGTGGCAGAAAGGGAGGTATGTCTATCTGCTATTTTCATGACTGCTATGTTTTTACCATAAGTTGAGAAAGAATGCCATAAGCCATATTTACCACATATTGGGAAACAATTCTAATGCAAGTAGGAGTTGGAAAGGGACACATTGAATGCATACCCCACTAAGTCTCTATTCTCTTATTCATTTAGTAACAAACCAGATGATGTTAATGTTGCCTGAGGACAGGAGTGAGACCAAAACTGGTAATTAACTGTGTAACCAAGAGTTATTTCTCTTAAAAAGGACTTCTGTGAATTTGCATCCAGATATCGACGTCTCCTGTTTGTTGTGGACACATGCCAGGCTGCTTCACTGTATGAGAAATTCTATTCCCCGAACATCCTGGCTGTGGCCTCGAGTCTTGTGGGAGAGGACTCCCTGTCACATCACGTGGACTCTGCCATCGGGGTCTACATCATTGACCGCTACACATTTTACCTCCTGGAGTTCCTCGAAGGAGTGACTCCATCGTCAAACCGCACGCTTGCCGAGTTCCTCCGGGTGTGTCCCAAGCACCAGTGCATCTCAACAGTTGGGGTGCGGAACGACCTCTTCCCGACTGATGAACCCCCCGAAAAGGTGAAAGTGACAGAGTTCTTCGGGTCCCTGCGCAGGGTTGAGTTGACTCCTTCAGTGCTATCCCTTGAAGACTGACATGTGGGTCACTTTTAGGCCACTTTTGGATCTCACATGTGTCATGACTGTGATTGAGTGATACACCACATACTTGCATGGCAATCTATCATATCAACAGACGTGTGAATAAAATCAGGTGACTCTTTTCTGCCACTGTGAAGGCAGTAATGAGGCCAGGAAAGCCATTCTATCCTCCAAGCCCTTTTCAATGTCAAGTTTTTTCATTAGCTAATAGGGTACTGAAGTGTTTGTAAAAGATTTTGATTGATTTGATTGATTCACAAACAAAGTGGTTTTGAATCATGAATAGTATTTATGATACCATCATAATCAGATGATTTGTACTCATTACCATGTAATTGTTTTGCACCTGATCTTTCTCACCTTGACGCTCTCCATTGTCAATGTAACCCTCAGCTAAAGGTTAGTATAATGAATCTTCCTGTGCCATTTTCTGTCTGTTCATGGATTGGCTGGGGTGCATTTTTGAAGAAAAATATCTTAAGGAAATGCATTTCCTATGTATTTACTTTATGAAAGTAAAGTTGATGAAATGTATGTGAAGAAAATTGTGGGTATAAGTTCCATAATTTGAGTGAAAGAGAAATGAAAACAGTCCATTAGCAAGTGATCTCTGATTCAGAAGGAAAAGAAATTGCACTTTGAGTCATCCTGTGTCTTTTATCCTCTCTGAACTCCATTCATTCTCCCTATTCATGGGAATGGTGCTGCATTTCATGGCCTACCACTATAATACACCAAGAATGTGAAGCTAAAATAACTGAAGGGAAGATGGGCTGGAACCCTTGTAGTTGCCCGTTGGATCCAAGCAGATCCAATGCAGATATCAATGGAGTGAGATGGGAAATATTACTCCTTCCCAAGCCTGCTTTTTGTGGATAGTTGAATCCTCCCATTCCTGTCTCCAACTTGATCTCATCTATAAATATTCACTTTGTGAGCCTCAAAGGGTGGTAATTTGCATTTGGAGCAGTTGTCTCTTATGGGTGTGCCAGTTGAGTTTTTCAAGTTTCTTCTAAATATGGAGTAATATTGGCTAATAAAGCTGGAAGATATTAAGTTTTGACAAACAATGCTACAATTGGTATTTGTTGCTTGTCTCTCTGATGTGGAGCAGGATTGATACATATGGAATTTACACATCCACAAAGCATGGCCCTCCTGATTAAACAATCATGCCCCAATAAGTTTTTCCTCACTTTGGGAAAGAAAATGAAATGTTTTATTAGGCCTTTGTCAGGTCCTTGATACCTGAGCAACTGTTGCAAGTTGTTCTCAGAGATGAGGTCATGGTGAACTTGTCCCAGGAGGCACTCAACCATGATCCTGCGTGTATTCCAATTGCCACATTGGATTGTCCAAAGGCATGCAGTAAGAGGTAGGAAAGCAAATTTGAGAGTTATTGTTTTATTTGGTTGGACTTCCATGAAGTTTTCTCGTTTCTTTTTCTTACTTTCAGGCCTGAGGACAAATTGGGTAGAAGTTGGAAACATCCAGGTGAAGGTCAATGAACCCAAGCATCCATGGCTTGTCCCTCTCCATTACTGTAAGAAGGCATCCCTTGCTCAGTGATGATTGAATTGCACAAGTTGATGTATGAAATCTTCCATCAGTCCCAGAACATCCTTCCCCATGGTTCCTCTCCCACATGCACTGGTTGCTGCAGAAGATTCACCTGAAGCAAGATGTGTTCCTCCTTGGGCCACCAGGGCCCTGGAAGAGGCGGGTGGCCAGTGCCGTGGCCGAGCTCCTCTGTCGAGAGGTTGAGTACCTCCCCATCACCAGGGATACCTCAGAAATGGACTTGAAGCAGCGAAAAGAGATCTCTCACAATTCCACAGTCTTCCATAATCAAGTGAGCATCTCCAGAGGACAAATGTGCCAGTCCTTCAAGATGGTGTGCATTTCCTTCATGCATGTCACTTGTAGGCGGTGGTGCGTGCAGCAACCGAAGGCCGGATCTTGATCCTTGAGGGGATGGAAAAGGCTGAGAGAAATGTTCTTCCTGTGTTGAACAATCTTCTTGAAAATCGAGAGATGCAGCTAGAAGATGGTCGTTTCCTTATGCACCCAAAGCGCTTCCAGGAACTGGCTGAGGTGGGTGACTGCTTGCATTGATGCTTTGTCTGATTGTGATCTTGCGAGTCTGGATTATTCATTGGTCCTTGTTGCAGATTTATGGTGAAAAGGAAATGGAGGAGTTGGGCGTTGTGGCTGTACATGAGGATTTCCAGGTGATTGCATTGGGTCTCCCTGTCCCTCGATTCCCTGGGCATCCACTGGATCCACCACTCCGCTCACGCTTCCAGTGCCGTGCCGTCACTCCTCCTCCCTACAAGGTTTGTTCCTTCACTACCACCACTTTTTCTAATCTACCTTCAGTAATATCTCCTTTATCCTGACTTTGAACAGGATCTGCTGGAGATGGCAGTTGGGATCTCGCCAAATGCCTCGTCGGTCACATCTCGACAGATCGTGTCATGGGCATCCACAATGGCCTCCTCGGAATGGAGTGGCCTTGGGATCCCTGACTTCCCCCTTCATTCCTTATCAAATGCCTTCCACATTCTTGTGAGTAACCTAGAGTTCCCTTCTATAGGATTGTTACTTGCTGACATAGTAGCATTACCCTCTCTCTTCCTCCTTCAGGATAGGGTACCCATGAAAGAAGAGGAGATTCCTGGACTTCTACACCGACTCTATCCCTGGAAACTCTTTGCAGAGGAAGGATCTAAGGCAGTGGAGAAGTCACTGAAGAAGTTTATAGTCCCTCCAAAGAAGCCAGAAAAAAAGGCAACAGCAGGGAAAATACTTGTGGAGGTGACTCGAATGGAAGAACCCGATGGTGACTTGGGATTTGCCAAAGTAACCTCTGGAAATGATGCATTTTCTCTTCCAGTGAGTCTTGCTTAAACTCTTCGTTTTTCATCTGAATTCACCAATCCAAGCTAGACAGAATGAACAAACTTAACTTCCATTCCCAGGTCCCTGTTGGTAGGGGTGAACTTGGCAAAGAAGCAGACAAAGGAATTGTTGAGACAGAAGCAGTGAAGGATCTGTTGGTTGAAATGCTGGAGAGCCACAGTATTGGCCATGATCTCCTCCTGGTTGGGCCCAGGGCATCAGGGAAGAGCACCATCGCATACCGCTTTGCACAACTCCTTGGCTATCATGTCGAGCCTGTCCTCCTCTATCAAGTGATTCCATCCTGTTCCTTGCCAAGTCAACTTCCCATCCTCTTTCTGTTTCCAGTGATAGATGTCTTCTCTGTGTATCACAGGACATGACTTCAAGAGACCTGGTCCAGGGGAGGATGACTGATGAGAAGGGGAACACAACATGGAGATTCTCATCCTTGGTGGAAGCTGCTCTCAATGGTCATGTCGCTGTCTTGGATGGCATCCATCGCCTGCATCGCTCCACCCTCAATGTCCTCCACAGGTCTTTCAATTTTCTCTATCTCTCATTCATTTACAACACCATGTGTTGTCTCAATGCAATGACTCCAGGCTTGTTCACGATCGAGAGCTGGATCTCTATGATGGGAGAAGACTGATGGGAAAGGATCGTTATGAGGACTTACAGGCCTCACTTGGTCTCACCCATGAGGAGATGGAATCACGTGGGATTCTTCCCATCCATCCCGCATTTCGCATTCTCGCTCTTGCTGACTCCCCACAAGGTCCATTCCTCCTTCACCTCGGTGCTTGGCTCACGTAACTGGTGCAACAATGAGTTGTAATGGTTGCCCCATGCAGACGCAGAAGTGAAGTGGCTTGATGCAGAAGTCCTTTCCATCTTTCTTACCCATTCTATGCCAGACTGGTCTGCAAAGTCTTTATCTACTCTTGTCTCTTCTCTGGTAAGTATCAAAATGCATGGCTCTCATATACATCCCTCTGACCGTATCATTGTGCACATACGAATGCCTGCTCTTCAAAAGTTGTTTCTTGTGAAAAGCAAGACACTATTTTCACTTTGATTCCTTTACCATCCATTTAGTTCATCATATCTTATGTATCTTGGTAGTATGGAGAAGTTCCTGAGAAATGGTTCAAACTCTTGGAGTTGCGGGAAATGTTGAGGCAAGGCAAGGAAGATTCAAACACCAAGAGTCTAGGGGGGGCTCTGTCATTGAGGCAAATGCTTCGGGCTGCTAAGATCTTCAGTGCCTTCCCCCACTCATCAGCTGAGGACTTTGTGAAGCGCACCTGCTTATACAAGTGAGTTTTATGGCATCACATATGATTCAGGAATGTTTGGGGATGAAGGGCAAGTCAAAAGTGAAAACCTTCACTCCATCAGGTTCTTGCCCATCCTGGGTCGAGAGATGCTGGATGACTCCCTGAAGAAGGCCAATTTGTGTGATCACGTTGATGCAAGTGGAAAGGAGATGAACTGGAGTATCGATGATGGGACGTTGACAATTGGTGAGACAAGGATCCCAATGATGGAGACTGAGGGTCGGATGCAAGTGAAGGTCCCCTCCACTCTCTTCTACGACATCCAACAGGTGAGATTGAGGCCCTGCCTCTCTGAGTGCCTATGAAGCAAATCTTTTCTGAGGGTATCATCTAGTGCTGTAGATGCATTCTGTATGACAAATGCAGATATGATGAACGACCAGCTATACTGAAAACCTTGATGTTATGCAGTGAAATGTCCATAGACACTCATGCTGAAAACTTTGGATGTAATGAAATCAGATATGCCCTAATTTAAGTAATAATGAAAGAATTTCTGTGTCTCCAAGCAATAAGTACATGGGATATAATGAATATTTTCCCTGTCAAGAGAGTAAGGAAATTTTTTTTTTCATCTTGACAGAAGCACAAAGGATCAGTTCAATGCTGTCTTCAACATTTCCTTTCGGCCACTCGCATAATCTCACATCCATTCAATCAGTGAATCCCATTTAATGCTCATTTGCTCCATTCTCCTTGAAAGTATGTGGCATTGGCTTTCCAATCCAGGAAATTTTCTTGTTTTTTTAAAGCACACACTAATTTTGTCACATTCTCCTGCAGATATGGATTCCCTTTTCCTTTTGTTTTCTTTCTTTGAATCTCTTTGCTTACTTAGCTTCAAGCCTGAGATAAAGGAGGAAGTAACTCTCTTGTATAGTTTTAACTTTGTTTCAAGAAACAATTATTTATGAGAAAGTCTTTTTTTGTGGACATCACTAGTGTAACCATTCCTCCCTGCTAGCAATTGGAAGTGCTGGAAGAGATGATAAAGGACTTTGACCGAGGAGAGCACTTGTTACTGATGGGGACACAGGGAGTGGGGAAGAATCGTCTCGTCGATCGCATGCTCTCCCTTCTTCAGTATCCACGTGAATACATCCAACTCCACCGGTTCTTCATCTGCTCTTTGGTTCCTCTTGCTTCCATTCACTCAATTTCAGACAAATGAGTCAGCTCTTCCTTTTTCCTTGACCAATGTCAGAGACACAACAGTGAGCAGCCTCACAGTGAAGCCATGCATATCAGAGGGCCGAGTGTCATATGAGGATTCTCCCCTTGTGACAGCAGTGCGATTGGGTCATGCCCTCGTTGTTGATGAAGCAGACAAGGCACCCACCCATGTCACCTGTATTCTCAAGGTCTGCTCTCCCACTAATCTTCCCCATTCCACCTAGTTTCCTTCATGATTTTTCTTTTTTTCAGAACCTAATCGAACAAAGGGAGATGGTTCTGTCTGATGGAAGGAGGATCGTTCCTCCTGGCCACAGAGCAGATGATCCTAATTGCATCCCCATCCATCCCAATTTCCGCATGATCATCCTTGCCAATCCTCCTGGCTATCCATTCTTGGGCAATGACTTCTATTCCACACTTGGTAAGTGAAAATTTGCAATTCCTTTTTCAGAACTGGACTAGGGGTGCCAAGTGAAATGAAATTTGGATTGACTGTGGGCTGCTCACTTCAATAATTAAATGTTACTTCAACTATAACTTTAAAGCTTCAATCAGTCCAAGAGGGCCTAAACTTTTTATGAAGACAAAGGAAACTTCATCTAGTGCTCTGACAACAGCCAGATGGTCCATGTTGTCTTCATATCATTCTTGCATACAAAAGAAAAGTATTATTGATTCTTCAGTATCACCTGATCCAGTCAGTTGCAGTCATGCTGCATCATTTTCAGTTCTTTGCACCCAACAGATACAGACAAATGAAAAATGTGTCACCCAGCTGGGTTCATTACAGAGAGGTTTGGACTTGTATAACTTTAAATTAATCATGATTCCTTTGTTTAGGTGAAAACTGTCTGTGATCCTTGGTAGAAAGCAGTGGTTAATAACTGGAGCTGTCCATATATGAACTCTAGGAGGCAATTGAGATGTTTGCCAAAAAAAGTATTCTGAAGGAGTTGATCTGAAACTCCACATTGCTGTATAGTATCCCATATGCTGTGTTGTATACTGTGAGCTCCAGTGCTTTATTTCCCAAAAATTTAGCAATGGTAGAATGTGTGGTCTTCACATTAAAGACATCTGTTCATTGGCATTCCAAATAAACTTCTTGTTGAACTCAATCACTAATTATATCCACAGTATCAATTGATAATGAAGGGGACAGTAATGTCATTGTACATACACTGATGATTCAGAAGACCTGTTGAGTCCATATTTTGGAATTCTCATCAATACTCTTATGTGTGAGTTATTGAAATGAGCAAACAAAGTCTATGTTCCATGCTGGAAGATATGCCATCCAGAATGAATGGTTCAATAATTTTAATCAGCAGGGATTCATTTAGTCCCCCTTCCATTGAACAGGAGATGTGTTTGCTTGCCACGTGATCGAGAACCCAGACCGGAGATCCGAACTGGCCCTGCTGAGGGCATATGGGGGTGAGAACGTGGGTGATCACGTCCTCGAGCCCCTCGTCTCCAGCCTCCAGGACCTGCGGGAGAGGAGCCAGAAGGGGGCCCTCGCTTACCCGTACTCCACACGAGAGGCTGTTGCTGTCGTCAAGCACCTAAAGGTCCTTCTCCTTTCCTGACTATTTTTTACTCCTTCCTTCCTTCCTTCACTGTCCATTTCTTCCTCATAGATGTTCCCTGAGGATGGACTCAGCGGGGCATTGAGGAATGTGTTGGATTTTGACCAGTGGAATGAGGACTCTTTGGCACAAGTAAAGGAAGTCCTCATGACACATGGCATTCCCTTTGGTGCTTCCCCTCAACAAATATCCCTTGGGACTGTGTAAGATAATTTCCTCAATTGATGGAAATAAATGTGTGGGTCTCAATTCCCCCTTTCAGATCCCTTGGATGGTATCTTTCATTGGCCTGCCATAGTCAAGCCTTCTTATAAAAAGAAATCAGCTCCAAAGCTGAATTTCAATGCAGCAGTGAAGGAGTTATTATTGGAGAGGATTAGTTGAACTGATTGTGATCATGTTATGGGTGATGTACAGCTTTTGATTCCCCATCAGAGTGGAGCTACCTCGTGCAAAAGAGAGGGGCGTGTGGATCATCCGTGGGGACTCTGAGGAAAGCACAATGCCAATCCACCTTCCTGTCTCAGTGAAACACATGTCATTTGAAGTATGTGGTACTCCATCTTCAATATCCGTGACATTGAGGGAAGGTAGATTGTGATTTTTATGGCTTGCATAGGGGGTGACAAAAATGAGCCTTTATGAAGGAAAGCTGGATCTGGTGAGTGCCCGACTGGAAGGCTTCACAGAGCAGGAGAGATGGATGAGGATCCCTATCTCCAAGCATGACCTCATATGTGGTCTCACTTCCCATCCTCCATCAGGTAATGAGGACTAGTCCACCCATTTGCTGGCAGTGTGATGTTCATGTGTTGACAATAGGGGCTGTTGGTGGTGTTGTGGCTTTCCAAAAGTTGGTTGCCGGTTTCAAGATGTTCGTCAACGTGGAGTTTTCACTTTTAGAATGGGAGCCACTGACCAAGTTCATGCAGTTCATTTCATCTTAACAAATGTTGTCTGTCATTGGTGCCATATCTGGAGATATTTCATGGGATCACAAATCAGAGGCAAACAAAAAAGGGTTACCAGAACCAAGTTTTCTTGGTGCCTGAAGAATCTATTGACTCATGAGTGAATGGATAGACTGGTGGTGGGGGTAACAAATAATGAGAGAAGAGTTACAACTCATTTTATGAGTTTATTCTTTTTCTTTGTATCTTTTGCTGTATCTGCAAAGCTGTATATACTCATCTACTTTTTCTGTGGCAAACACAGCCACTCCTATGTGGATGTCCATCTCAGCCTGTTTTGTGCATATGCCAATAAGGTCACTGCCAGCTTGTTTCCTTTGCATGTTTGGGAAAATTGAGTGGATTGTAAAAATCTCATAGCACAAATTAGGGGGAAAAAAGAAAGTGGTATATCTGCGCTTCAAATCCATATTTTCACTCTGACTTTTCTTATCGTTTCTTCAATGCATTGGGTGATGAATTTCAATAAAACTATAATGGATTTTAGGAACGAGTTGCTAAGTCATATCAGTGACAAGCCAGAAACTGGTTATCACTGAACAGACCTTCACCAAGCCTATTGATAATGAATGAATTACTCATTGCAAATTTGAATATTAGGAGTTTCTTCACTTTGGATATGGATACTTTTGATGGTGTGTTGGCAGGAAGACTGTATGCACTGTCAGGGCAGCCCCCAGCCCTCTACGATGCAGATGTGATCAGCAAACGCCTTCGCATCTTCCGCCTTGCCGATTTCTCTTCTGTCTATGGGAACATGAAGCCCATTCTTGCTCCTTATCTCCTTGCACAGGGGCAAATCATTCTCCACAATACAAAGGTGAAATTGGAATCTCTCAGTTTCAATGGAGTCAATGATGGCTTAGTTCCAATTCACTCATTTCATTTAGCATTACTACTTTTTATTGATTTTCCATTTGCACTGCCCGTGATATTCATGGTCCTTGAAGCCAAATATTTAGTTCTTCTTCCAGAGGACCTCTTTAAATGTTATTCAGTTGACTTTCAAGTTTTAATCTTTACCTTTTAGTTCATCTGCAATCTATGTGAATCTCAGACTTCAGCATTTGTAATGATGAAAGATAAAATGATCCCCTAACATCTCCAATTTACTGCATTTGTGATTGAGGAGTAACTATTGTGATGTTTGCAGGGGATAGGAGATTAGCAAATACTATGAAGTGCATCTGATTGTTTTGGAATATAGAACAATGGGGTACACATGATGGATGTCGAACGAGGGGACCTGTATCGCATCGAGAATGCAAGCATCCTCGAGGGGGGGAATTCCCGCTGGGCCGGCTGGGGTCTTCCCTTTCGCTCTGACTCGGGCCTTCCCAGTGGCGGATACTCCATGAAACCCTGTCCCCAAGGGGGAAGCTTTTACATCTTCCAGAAGGGAGGGGGCAGCTTGGAATTGTTGGATTTCACTCAGAACACATCAACATCTGTCTCATTGCCAATGACCTTGGAGAAGGTGTTCCCTCTTGGAGATAAAGGTTGCCTCCTCCTCGGCCCTGATGGCTCGTGAGATGATTTCTTCTCCCTCTCTGCCTTTCCCAGTTCTTTAAAGTTTACAATTCTACACCTGAATTGAATATGCTCTAGATCAGGAGTGCCCAAAGTGAATTTTCACAAAGCGTTATACGCTGCATGCTGCCTGGAGGCTGCTCTTTGGGCACCCTTACTCTAGGTATAAATTTGCCATTATTGGTTGGTGACTTGATCTCAGGTGGGGCATTGTATGGGATTCATGTTTGACACACTTGGCTGATGTGCTCTCTATCTCTAACCTTGAGTGTGTCAATGCCCCATCACAGAGATAAGAGCAATGTCAACTCACATTAATGTCAGATTTCAATGTGTAAAACTTGTCAAAAGGGTTAATTTATTTGGAAGCAGCTAACTTTGTACAGGGGGTAAGAATTTTATATCATTTGAATGGATATGGAACAAAAGCTTTGTGGTTTTTGTTTAGGAAAATGCTATTGACTTGGGAAGGTGACACAGTCAGGCTGAACTACATCGATGAAATAGGAGTGTCAGATGACATTCACTTTTTCCATGAATCTCCCATTGGTTCCTTTTTCTGCTCAAACTCAGCTGTGATTGGCTTTGTAGAGGGATTTCCTCCTCCCAAGATTTCGGTCTGTGCCATTAGCACTCATGTAACAGTGCTTCCCTTATTTGAAGTTGTCCTAAGTATGCCTCTTTTTTTTTACATTAGGGAAGCTTGGATTGTCCTGTGAGGATTGTGGATCGAAAGGAAAGCTCTTCAGATTATGTGTATCTATACGATCCAGAGGAGATGAAGCTCTTTGAGGCATCTTCCAAGGACCTTTCTGTCATTCACTGGAAAGATGCAGAAAAGCGGGTCATTGCTCGACATCGTATCCCTCTTCTCATCCAGTGAGTACAGAAATGATTGATTAGAATGGTTAGTTTTTGTCAATGCCACTGTGTTTATTTCCTTGCAGGGAATCAGAGGAGGAGCCCCAAGTCCCTCCATTCATTGCCCTTGTCAATGATGGACGAGTTGCAGCTGCAGATGCTTCAGGAAATGTGCACTTGTATCAGGTTGGGACCTCTCAGATCCAGAAGTCTCTCAAGGTGTGGAAGGATCTTGTGGGTCATCCAGGTCCCTAAATCGATTTCTCATTTCTTCCATGTGATGATTGAGTCCTTCTCGTGGTTAACATCCCCACTACGATATTTAGAGAAGGGGAAGCTGAGATGGGAAATGAAGAGACCTAGTAGGGCAGAGGTATCTGGTCCCAAGCACGGGAAAGTGGATCCACAAAATGCACCTCATGTGGGAGGAAACACCTGGGCAGGTGGCACAGGGGGAAGAGACACAGCAGGACTGGGTGGGAAAGGAGGACCTTATCGATTGGATTCTGGGCATACTGTCTATCAGGTCAGTTCATGGTGAAGGGTGGCTATTAGTATGAGGAACATGATGTGGCTGCTCTGGAAGGATGGACAATATAAATAGGAAATTGGGCATACTGTTTAACTGATAGGTTTATGTTATTGGGTGGTTCAAGAGCACCAACCTCACCTGATTCCTGTCAAAAGTTTGTGCAAGAAGAAACTTTCTTCACTGTGCTAGAGAGGCATTGCAACAAACTCTGCGACAAGAACCAGTGTCTGATTTGTGATTGTATATACTCTTTTGAAAACATAGTCTTTTTGAAGATACGGGTGAAAGTAACATATTGCCCAGTAAGCAATTCATGAAGTAATTATGTGAAAATCACATGAATGTACTACCAATGCCAAGGACCCTCCATGTGAGGAGATGTAGTGTCTAATTTAAGAATTTTCAGGTTAAAAAGTACTATAGATGAATGGATGCTGTCCAACAAAAACTTTATTTTGTTGCATGTTCATGGATAGACTAGACAAAAACATTTAAAATTTTGCAACATCCAGACTCAGCAATAGAAAGAATTCTCAATTTCATTGTTGAAACATGCTTCTTTGATGAACCTTTTTTTCCAGTAATTTTATTGAGCTTTTCCATTTGAGGAAGGTAAGAGGGTTCTTCTTGTCAACAATGTTACTGTGGAAAGAAAAAGATTGTAAACGGGTTCCTGGAAAATGGACTTTTTTCTTATAATGTAAATCAAGTCCCCAGTGTCTCTAAATTTCTTGAGGCCTAAAATTGGGCAATTGTGGGCTGTTTAATTCAATGAAAAGGAGTGGTGGAAATCTCAAATAGGAAGCAACTATGCTTCAAAATTGCCTCTTCCAGGTTCAGTATTTCTGAAGGCATTTGGAAATGTACTTTGCTCTAAAATTCTTTGCAATGATGCAATGTAAAGTCGACACATTCTTTCTAGGGTATATTGCTGGTAAAATTGACATTGTCTGCCATATCCACAAGGTCAGTGAAACATACAATGTTATTTAGATGTTTTCTGAATTCTAAACAGATTAAATTATTGGAATTCTATTGATCCCCCATTTGAAAGGAAACCTTGTTCACCAAAATTGGACTTTAACTTACAATTGGCAATACTCATGTGAGACATCAAGTTCCACCCCTCCAATTTTGTATGTACATATCTTAATAAATTCCACAGAATGCAACCAAACTTGGCAAATCCTCTACTCTGGCCAGAACCTTGCACACCAAAAAAAGCTGGGTGCAAAACTATATGCAGAACCTGCAGGGACTCTTGAAGTTTGTCATTTTACAGAAATAACTCATCATTGTTATCTTATAATCACTAGCTATTTCAACGTGGAGAGTGTTATCAATTGAAGGCTTTCATTAAGGATAACTCACTCAGTGTCATTATGGTACCTTTTTGTATTCTGAAGTTATCCCTGGAACTTTAAAAAAGTCAATGGCAACCATGTTTGCTCCATGCCAGGTCATGGGATATCCAGGTAATAATAGGGACTTGGTCTCATTCAAATGAGGTACCCTTCCTCTTCAGGTTTGTTAAAATGCTTTCATGGTGTCTTCCAGTTTTAATTAATTATGGTTGAATTGAATAAATTATTGAATTGTATAATTTTAAGGATAGGCCTCTTTAGGATGAATTGTCTATCTTGGCTATTTAGTTTATTGCATGTCCTAAAAAATGTACATGAAGTCAGTGGTGTTGGTTTGAATAAGTGCTGAAAGTTTGATTCTCAGCAAAAGATTTAAGGGATTGATGGTTTCTGTGTGGTATCGAATTGATTCAGGAATTCATAAGAGCACAGTGTTCAGATTTCACCATTCCAGAATGGGTCTATGAGGAAAAGTATTTTATGTGCTGTGTGTAAGAGATGTTAGTCATCAGGTTCAAGTGAGAAAAGAATCTCATGAAGAAACTTTGCATAAAGGGCACAGCTTTTATCTCATTTGTGTGAAGTAGTTTCCAGAAAAATGAACAATAGTCAGAGATATTTTAATTAAAATGAGGTTGATAAGGTGCTCTTTATAAATCAAAGAAATGAGAGCACCTCATATGGAGGTCAGATGAGCACAACAGCACAACTACAACATGTTCCTGGAATAGATGATTATACAGGGTTGTATATGGAAGTGTCATTCTGGGTATTACTATTGTGGGCTTTCCCTTGGTCTCTGCCAGGTCCCTGATGAGGAGAAGGCTGCAGTTCCACTGGAGATTCAGGCAGCTGCTCGAGAATTGGCTCGGGAAACGTTTCGCGATCGACTGAGAGAGATACGTATGAGTCCTCTGGACATCAACGAGTACGAACGTTACAGGAAGGCTGTGGAAGGGCCCGTAAAGCGGCTCAAGATGATCGTGGATTCCCTGAAAGCAAAAGAGAAGGAGAGGGAATGGATCAGGCTTCAATCACATGGGGATCTGGATGACACTCGCCTTGTTGAAGGTTTGTCCTTCCTCTGTGCCCTTGCATTTCTTGTATCCATGAAATGTAATCATGGAGGTATTGTGTTTCATCTGGTCTTAGGCTTGACAGGAGAGAAGTCTATCTTCAAGCGAAGGAAGGAGAAGGAGCCTGAAGTTGGAACTCCTCAGAAGAAACCCAAGCACCTGCGACTCGTGATCGATGTCTCAGGCAGCATGTACCGGTGAGTTGCCTTTACTTGCATCTGCCAATGTCTCACGGATCTCACTCCCCAACGTGGCACCCATATCAGGTTCAACGGGTATGATGGTCGGCTCGAGAGGGAGAAGGAGGCCGTGCTGATGACGATGGAAGCTCTGAAAGGCTACATTGGGAAGATTCGTTATGAGATTGTGGGACATTCAGGAGAAGAGGTTCATGTCCCCTTTGTGCTGGCAGACACACCTCCAATCAACCCCAAGCAACAGCTCCAAGTTCTTCAGGTCAGTCTTAACTCAGTCTTCATTAACACTGAGAATTTTTCAAAAGTAGAGACTCTACAGCATCGGGGTTGACTGATTTCAGCTTTCTTTGTGTCAAAATTTAGACTAGCCATCTTTGCCTTTTTAGGCTTTTTTTTCCTATGCTGAGAATGAAGTCTTCCTTCCTGCATGATGGAAATCCCTCCAAAAAGCAGGGATTTCCTGAAATAAAATGTAAGCTAACCTTTTTCGGTAACCAAAGCTGAATTTCACAGACATGGGGAATTACTTTTCTTGCTTTAGAAGTACATAATGGCCTCTGAACTGGAAATAATGACTAATGATAGAGCCCACTATTAGAATCCCATGGCCATAGATGAAAGTCAGGTTGTGCTGAATTGCTTGACTCAAATGTTTTATTAGTTTTACCAGTAAGTTCTTTAATAGAATTTGTTATGTTGTGAAAGCTAACTCCCTCCATTCCTGAATACAAATACTGAGAAACATTGATCTCTCAAAAAGAGCTTGAATCCCCACCCCACAACACTGAAAATTTTGAAATGTTGATGTACTGTAGATTTGCTGGCTGTCAAGCAAAATCATTGTTGCCATTAGAACAAGTGGCAGAGGTATTGGTTGGGGTCCAAAGGGAACAAATGGAAGCATTTTTACTTGTTTTTTCTCATATTGGGTCAGGTCCTACTGTCAATGTCAATGGTCACATGTTCATCATCAGTGCCATTCAGCTGTGGGTAAAGGAGGACTCACTCAACTGGAATATGTTATGATTGCAAACATTTTAAGAAATCAACAGCTCTAAGAGAAAAAAAAAAAGAGGATTGGAATGACTGAAGCAAGAGATCTCTACCTTTCATGCTTTTTCACTCTGGAAAGGTCTTGCAAGCCATCTATTTCTAAGAGTCTCATTTATACACCCTGATTCCTCTATCATTCCTCAACTTGCAGATGATGGAAGCACACAGTCAGTTTTGCTGGGCAGGAGACAACACTCTGGCAGCCCTGCGGAGGGGGATGGAGGAAGTGGGGAAGGTGGAGGCTGACGAGCGCTTCCTCATCCTCCTGTCCGATGCGAACCTCGAGCGTTACGGGATCTCCGTCCGACACATGCGGGATGCTCTCACGAAGCAAGATAATGCTTCGGCATCGGTCATCTTCATCGGTTCCACTGGCTCACAAGCCCATAGGTATTGTTTTCTGCTTTGAATTCTGCATCCATCTTGGAGTCATGTGACCATTCGTGTGTAAACCTTGGCGGCAGGTGGAAGGAGGGCCTCCCTCCAGGAAAGGCATTTGTCTGCTTCGACACTTCAGAATTGCCACGCATTCTTCAGACCATCTTCTCCTCGTCGATCCTCAGATGATGCATGGTGTTGCTCGCAGAAGAATTCGTCTTTATATTCCCTCAAGCAATATTAATTTCTATTGCAGGTGATATATTAGCTCATAATGTGGAGGGAGCATGATAGCATGTTAGTTATTGGTGTTTTTATCCCCAGAATATTTTGGTTTTATGACCCAAGGAATCGTCTCGTTTCCTTCCTGCTTGTTTTGCCTCTGAGGCGAATGCAAACCTGATCTGCATGGACTGGTTGAATCAACATTAACTTTGAGCAATTACTTGATTGACGATTCACTTTCAGCATGAAATCCACTTGGCTGGATATCAAATGACGATGTGCAAATGGCAGAAAAACTTTGGAATTTGGCCAATTAACCATAAGTTTTTACATTTTTGCCTACACCATACACCTGCATGCAAACCATACTTAAATTGATATGAGCTGAAAGTGCCATGTTCACCATTTATGAGTCAGGAAAGAGCAAAAAGGGGGGGAGAAGTCAAGTTTGATTGAGAACTGTCTATGATGCTGCACTAAAAAGATAGGAAATTGTTGATATTACAAGATTGATTCAAATCCATTTTGCCACATGTCAAAGTTGAATCAAAGTCGATACGTCAGATACTTTGCATCAATTTGACCGGTCCATGCAGAACCACAGCAGCGAATTTTGGCATGAGATGGAGACCCTCACCTTTGCACCCTTTTTACTTGTTTTGACTTGCCCAAAGGACAAGGGAAAGATGAATCCCATATCCCTCCATTCTTTTGTTGCCCTGAAGGTACCAGGTGCATTTCCTTGTGACTTAGGCACCTGGCCAATGCTGACAGGTGGAAGGTGAAATCTGTGTGCCTCGCACAGAGTGGCGACTGGGGTTTAAAAAGCTTGTAAGAAATTCTCAGAGAAAAACCATCGCCTGCAGTGGCAATTGATAATTGCCAATAGAAATATGCGTTCGCTTAAGCGCTTCTCAGCGAAGCTGCCTTTTTTTCTTTCATTTTTAATATTGTTTTGTATTATTTTCGTGTAATTTGTTTTTTTCAACCTTCCTTGGGAATTCCAATTTTAGCTATGCCCCTTCGAGGAAAGTCTGATGTCCGTCCACAGACCCAAGATGCCAGACCATGATTTCTTTGAAAAGGTATATTCCGGGTAGTGGAGCTAGGCGTAGGGTTGGGGTGTCTACCTGGCCTCAACCCCCCCCCCCCCTTGCCGATTTCCTGCCTACACCACTGGAACGCCTCGTACCTCATTAAGTAAAACAAATTACACGAAAATAATACAAAACAATATTAAAAATGAAAGAAAAAAAGGCAGCTTCGCTGAGAAGCGCTTAAGCGAACGCATGCAACACCGACTCTTCCCAAGAGAGACGACAGAAAGTTTACCTCGGCCTTATCCAAGCACTACAGCCATAGCCCACGCCTCAACCAGGTGAGGACCCTTGCTTGCAGTCATAGCCGCCGACTTCTAAAAAAAAATAGGGGGGGGCAAGTTCCTAATGCCCTTGAAATACTGACGGAATTATTCCATGATCCATTGGGGTAGCTCAGCTTTATGGTAGCAGAGTGACGGGGAGGGAGGATGTTGCTGGGCATGGCCCTTCCATCCCATACCTTTACGGGGTGACACTGGGATCTCCCCCAGTTGGAGCCCTAAACAGAAAGGAAAATAATGTTTTTCATTTCTTTCGTGAAGCAGCATTTAGTTTCTAATTTTCCATGAGCCATACTTTTGTTGAAATTTTGCCCTTTGCCCCCGTGGGATCGGCACCTATGCCTGCAGTGCTGAATCCATAAAGGAAGACATTGCTTTTATCCTAGTTTATTATGCCCTCACTAGATGGCAGCGCATATGCAAATAGTTCAGTGCGTCATCACTAGGTGGCAGTGCATCTACCTTGAGCGTTTTAAGGCAAGTTCCCCTGAATATCCCGCATCTTGATGTAAGAATGTAGCAAAATTAATGTGCAAATGGTACAAGAGCGTCTATATGGATCGTTGTTAGCTTTTCCCGACTCGATAATGACAGGATGACGCGGGGACCAAGTGCAGGCGGCAAGCAAAACTCGCGGGTTTGCAAGGCACGCGTGAACGTCTCACTTTGGGGCTTTCCACGCGCCCTGCCATTCGTAGCCGTCGATTAATGGCGAAGGGACTTACCCTTGAGTGAAGCACAAGTAAACAAGGGGTTGAATGTCGATCTGGAAACACTAGTTAGAGTGAGGCTGGAACCTGTCACGGAGAACTGAGCTCGCTGGCAGGCGAAGGAAAACTGCCGGGCCTGGTTTGGCTTATTTCAGGAAACTCTTTGGTCTTGGTTTAAAACGGAGATTCTGCATTCTTTTCCTTCTCTACAACGGTGTTGGATCGCAGCTAGAGAACAACTTATTTTTGCATAAAACTCTTTGGGGGGGGTTAAAAAATGCATTTGCAAATTTGGAAAGAGTTTTTCTGAGGCGCCCTTCCAAATAAGAACGAGGAAAGTGAACTTGTATGTGAGGAAGACGAAAGTGGACTTGTCTGTTGAGACGAGGAAAGTGAACTTTACCAGCCCTAGGCCATGAGTGCATGGCCGCGACCGCGCGGCCCCTCCTGTATGACCTGTTCGGCTTCACGTTCGTCTCGTGCCGCGATGTGGCTGTGATCGTCGGTCGCTTGTCGCTGACTTGGCGGTCGTGTGTTAGGCCGTGTCGAGGACCTGGACGGTTTCTACCGCTTCTTTTTGCATCGCGTTTCAGTGGGATTGCTCGAGCGCGTTGAGGCCAATGGGTGAGTTCAAATCAGGTGTTGGTGTCGAGAGGCTTCTCCTAACACCAACGCTAATACTGACAAAAAGCCCAGAATAACGGCGTTGCCGTAGGGTTGCTTTCATTTCTTTTTTTTCTCAGGTTCAAGGCTTATCATAAAATTGGGTTAGGCATAGCGCAGCTAACGATCAGCGGCAGACTCATGAAATGCGATCGCGAACGAATTAAGACAACCTACGCCTATATCTTCTCGTTGGGTCTATGTCGGTACGACGAATACCGTCTCCCTTATAGGCCGTTTCGCGGTAATAATTTGATCTTGCGATGGACAACTTTACGAGTTGAAAGCATCTCCTTTCGGAGTTGGAAACTTCTGATGGAATGCAGTCATGTTTTCAGTCCTTGTATCATTGTTCAGAGGCTTCGGTGAAGAAGTGGCTGAAGTGTCGTTGCTACAGTGGAGAAACTCCCCATTTTCCTTTGCCAGGGATTCCAGAAGGGAAAGGCACACCCGAATATTCGTCCGAGAGCGTGACGATGGTCGAGTTCAATTATGACGGCACTTTCGCTGAGGTTAATTAAGGTCACTTACTTGCCATGTTACATGACGCGTGCGTGTTCGCGATGCCTCGACCCGCTTTCCTTTTATCGCTCTAAAAACCTAGCACAATTCTTGTCTCAACGTACTGCCAGTCACTTACGCTACTCACACCACTTTTGAACTCGCTCTGGTGTCATCCGCCAAGAATTAGTGAAACACCCCATAATGGAGTATAGGGAATCCCCTCCACACCAACACCGAACGGGGATTGAGATGGCATTTCGTTTTTAACCTGGTGTTACACCAACACCATAGGGTCAGTTCAAATCCGATGTTAAGGGTGTTCGTGTTACACGGAACACCAACACCGAATTGAACTCGGCCAATGTTGGCGAATCGGACGGTTCCTCGATTTCGACCTAACGAGTCCAATGAGTAAAATGTCAAAGTGTGCCGACGCCGCGGAAAATATGTTCATCTCAATGGAGAATGATAGCAATGAAGTCGAATTAAGGTAAATGCGGGGCTTTGAGGACGTTGAAGCGAGAAAGCGATGAGACACGTGCCTCGTCGGTTTGGGGTCCGCCTTCCCTTTTTTTTTCTCTTTCTCCCTTCGTTTCTTTGTATTATGATGTTCCGTTTGTCTTATGTTTATATAAATCTTTTTTTGATTTTTTTTTCGTCTTAGTTTCTCGTAATTTTTAAATTAGGATTTTATATTGATTGATTTATTTAATTTAATCTAAGGTCACAAACGTGCGATTAATATTTTTAAAATTGTAATTTAGACAGCAGATGTGATTTAGATTTTAGAATTTTGATTTTGCAAGCTGTTTCCCATGTCATCCCGGAGAAACAAGGACAGATTCAGTGGAAAATCATCAGGCCATGCAGTTCCTAACCGTTAAAACTAGCAATTCATGCTAATTTCAATTGTTTTCACAATTTCCCCCATTTTGTGAAAAACTCAAATTGTGAAATTTGCTCAATTGCAGGTGCAACAGTCTTCCCGTCAGCCTTTCTAATTCCGAGAGCGATTGCGTTGAGACGTTGCGGGTAGCGACGTCAGATGGCGGTCCTGTTGTGCCTGGTGCTGCCATCTATGAGAACACAACTGAATCCTTGCTTCTCAAAAATTCTCCAGTGTGGCAACGCGCTCAGATGTATTCATGCAATAAAATGACTGTATCTCAACGTTTTCTTTTAATTACCCCAAGTGAAAACGGTCGAGCAGGACACACGTGACGATGCAAAACGAAAGCTGCAGATGCAAAAACTCCCCCTTGGTTTTGGCCGTGGGTCAACCGCAGACGAGCCCTGCCCACCTCCCTCCTCCCCCACCGGGTTTACATTTAGCCTTAACACGCCCTGGCATTACTGTCAAACTGCTCCCCTTAACGTTACTCTTACGCCCAGGCGTTTCCCTCTGAAAGCTGTTCCCGGGGAAAAGAAGAGCCCCCAGGGGAGGGATTCGAACCCTCGTCTTTCACAGGCAAGTTGATGACGCCAATCGGGAGAACTAAAGCTCCGGCGCTGTACCCCACGGCCACCAAGGAGTACGAGTATTCCCATTTCCTTCTTTTTCTATTTAATGCTATCCAGGGCAGACGAGGCGTGCTTTGACGTGGCTCGAGGCGTCTGCTTTCGAACCGATATCCTCGTCGTCTGCTTAGTTCCTGCTTAGTAGATGGAAGTATTCCACTTTAAGTCATTCAGTATCTAATGCTTCACGCAAATAAAACATGTGCAATTTCGAAGACTTTATTTCTTTGAAGCATTGAAGGAAACACAATCGCAATCCTCTGCCGCCTATTGTTTAGGAAGAAATTAAGAATAGAGGTGTGCGCGTGAGTGATTTTTGACTCACGATCACGAGAGAAAAACACGTAGTCACTCATTTTCAAGCGAGCCCTTGCTTCAATATCATTTGAGAATCACGGACACGTACGATCATAGCGACCGTGAATTGAACTCACGCGTGACAGTTGATTCTTCCCTTCCAATGTCGAAATGATACATACTTCATATATTGCATTGTAAAAAAAAACAGCAAATAGCAAGAAACCATGTTTTAGCTGAACGACACTCGATTCGCGTGGTAGTCACTTCTTCCCAAGTCCAAACTTCCAAAATCTGCGGAACATTCGAAAAACTCCTAGTGCTTGGGGTCAAACTCGTGAGAGCACTGAGCACCTCCTTCACATAGCTTCCTCGGTCACGTGATGGCCGAACGGTAAATCAACTCCAAGACGGCGAATGATAGGGAGATGAAACGAGTTTTTCGGCTTCTCCAAGGCTCCGGAAAAAGGCTTGCATGGTAGATCCGCCGAAAAAAATAACAGGGACTCACGAACACGAGCAAGTGAGTTCTGTTCGCGTCATGATCACGATAAGAACCTTCCCTGAAGTTCTGAGCGAATCCTGCTTGCATATGCGTGACTCACGAAAATGGTCGTGAATCACGCGTGAAGCGGAACTCACGCACACCTCTAATTAGGAGGTGCAATTCATCTTCCGCCATGCATTGAGCTTTCATGGTCACGTTAATTTTCCTTGCACTTTTATTCTTTTGAATTTTATTCCACTCAAAACTTGGGGTTAAACATGCCCAGAAAAAAAGGGAAACCCCGTGGGATCGAAAATACCATGCAGTCAGAACCGTGTGGGATCCAATAGGAGAGAAAGAACCATGTGGGAGCAAGAACCACGAGGGATCCAATAGGAAAGGGAGCAAGAACCACGAGGTATCCAATAGGAAAGGGAGCAAGAACCATGAGGTATCCAATAGGAAAGAGAGCAAGAACCACGTGAGATCCAATAGGAAAGGGAGCAAGAACCACGTGGGATCCAATAGGAAAAAGAGCAACAACCAAATGGCATTGAAGATGACGTAGTGAGTCAGAACTGCGTGGGATTGAACATGACAGAGACGTGACATGGCGTGAGAGCAATAAGAGGACAAAGGCTTAAATACGCCAACGCAAATTCTCAAGATGGAGAAAAAAATTCCGTCAATAGATCTAATGGAATTATTTTAAAACACTCCTAAGGCAAACGATATAATTGCATTTTCTTAAAATATTTCCAATGAAAAACTAATCAGCATATTCAACCACTTCAATGAGTTATCCATTCAAAATGAATTATTGACAAAACCATTATAATCGATTAAAAATACTTGGAATTGAATTTTAAACATGTTGAAAAACGCATCACTCCGTACGGCTCTTCCTAAAGGCAAAGAGGTCTTAAATAGTCCAGACGTACCTAAAGTCGCTCATCCTTGCCAAGAACTCAACATAAAGTGGGTACGCAAAATGTTAGCTTCTCGTTATCTGTGAAAATAATGGACAAGAAAAAAGTGAAATCACAAAGAAAAAATGAAGGAAAACCAAAAATTGAACCTGGTTCGTTCCTATAGAAGAATGGTCGAATCTCGAAGGACGCAACAGAAAGGCAGAATCGCATGATATAGTAAAAATTCTGAAAATAATATAATTAAAAGAATTTGGATTTCTATTATTACTATAATCGGCGACACTCGATGCCAAAAAGATAGAAATACCCTGACCCGAGCCGAGATTCTCTCCACCCTCGTGAGCGACACACACCCGTCGCCTTTGACAAACAAAAGAGAAGTAATGCGAAAACACGAGCTGCCTCCCCTCCCCATTCCAGCCATATCCTTCCGAAGGAGGTTCCTTCCTCTCTTTTCCTGCATGTGCCTCGAAGCTGTTTCCTTCTTGGATTATCCTCCTCGAAACATACGAGAGAGAAAAGAAGAATCGCGAGAGATTCAAGAAGAAAGAGATTCAGAACTGCGTGGGATACTAGGGAAAAGTAAGTTAAAACCATGTGGGACATAAAGGGGAAGAAGAGAGAAGAAAGTCTGATTCCACAGGGATCTAACATGTCGTGAACTGTAGGAACCACGTGAGATCCAACAGAAATGCGAGAGAGACTCGCGTGGGATAAAACATGAGAGAAAGAACTTCGTGGGATCCAATAGTAAAGAGACTGAGAAGCGCGTGGGGTCCAATAAAATAGAGATTAAGAATCACGTGGCATTGAACGTGACGTTGAAAGAATTACGTGGGATCGAAATTGCCGCTGAGCGTCAGAACCACATGGGAACCAAAAGAATAGAATCCAAGAATCAAGCGGGAACGGATGTGGCGCAGAGAGGAAGAACCATGTGGGATTGTGAGGCATGCCGAGAAGGATTTCCGTTTCTCCAGAATTTATCAGGTCTGCATGGATTTCAGCGAGTAGGAACGGTTCTTGAGTTGTATTTCACCCATGCGTTTTACAATCGAAGAGCAATAGACACTAAATAATGGACAAGAAAAAAGTGAAATCACATAGAAAAAATGAAGGAAAACCAAAAATTGAACCTGGATCGTTCCTATAGAAGAATGGTCGAATCTCGAAGGACGCAACAGAAAGGAAAGTCAGAATCGCATGATATGGTAAAAATTCTGAAAATAATATAATTAAAAGAATTTGGATTTCTACTATTATTACTATAATCGGCGACACTCGATGCCAAAAAGATAGAAATACACTGACCCGAGCCGAGATTCTCTCCACCCTCGTGAGCGACACACACCCGTCGCCTTCGACAAACAAAAGAGAAGTAATGCGAAAACACGAGCCGCCTCCCCTCCCCATTCCAGCCATATCCTTCCGAAGGAGGTTCCTTCCTCTCTTTTCCTGCATGTGCCTCGAAGCTGTTTCCTTCTTGGATTATCCTCCTCGAAACATACGAGAGAGAAACGAAGAATCGCGAGAGATTCAAGAAGAAAGAGATTCAGAACTGCGTCGGATACTATGGAAAAGAAAGTTAAAACCATGTGGGACATAAAGGGGAAGAAGAGAGAAGAAAGTCTGATTCCAGAGGGATCTAACATGTCGTGCACTGTAGGAACCACGTGAGATCCAACAGAAATGCGAGAGAGACTCGCGTGGGATAGAACATGAGCCAGAGAGAAAGAACTTCGTGGGATCCAATAGGAAGGAAAGTTTGATTCTTGTGGGATCTAACACGATGCAGAGAACAAGAACAACTTGGGATAGTAAAGAGACTAAGAAGCGCGTGGGATCCAATAAAATAGAGATTAAGAATCACGTGGCATTTAACGCGACGTTGAAAGAATTACGTGGGATCGAAATTGCCGCTGAGCGTCAGAACCACATGGGAACCAAAAGAATAGAATCCAAGAATCAAGCGGGAACGGATGTGGCGCAGAGAGGAAGAACCATGTGGGATCCAATGGAAACAAGCTGGGCAAACCCAGTCTAGTATTGGACTTCCTCCTTTCAGTTAAGGAAACCCTAATTTTGTCATCTAATTGAACAAAATGCCATCTCTTTCCGGTCTCCGACCATCAAAAACCAAAATTCTCTTTTATTTTGGTTAACATAGACAAACGGTGATAGAAGTGTCGTGTGGAGGGCCTCAAAATGTGGACTTTTAACGTTAACTTTAAGCCGAAAGAAGAGAAAGACAATTTAGCACGAGCGGTTAATCGGAGGCAAAAGGAAGGGGTCCTGGCCTCACTCCACAGACAGGACAAGCCGTCTAAGGAGACGACTGATGACAAATAATAAAACGGTGTTCAAACAACAAGGACAACAAGGACAACAAGGACAACAAGGACAACAAGGACAACAAGGACAACAAGGACAACAAGGACAACAAGTGTTTAATTAAAGTTAAATTAAGAGAAAAGAATAAACGTCACAGATGTTAATTGAAGTCACAGGCACGCAGGCACAGCAGCAGACGGCAACGGAGATTGCAGGCAGGGCGACCGACGGAAGACCAAACAGAAAGGCTGCAGGCACGGCTGGCAAGAGGGACTGCCTCGGACGAACACTCCCGACGGACGACCAGGACCACCCGCGAGACGGAGAAAACGAAAGACGGCGTGGCCGGAAAGGAGAGGTCACACCCCCAGAAAAACAATGGAGGGCTATGCGGGCCCAACCTTGTCATGGGCAGAACCCATGCAGGACCGCGAACAAAATAATGTCCCGCGGGAGCCACAAAGCTCTATTAAAGTTATATTCGAATTTACTCAATAATTTACTCATACGACAGAAGGATGAAGGCCTGTGCGGTGGATGGATCCATCAGCCACGTTTGATAGGGAATTGACAGCTCAAGTCGCTGACACGGCGCCGCGCGCAAAGCCTGGGCTGAACACGCATTCACATTGTGGTCCAGAACCTAAAGGGCTTACTCGTGTCCTCCCCTCAGAGACCGAATTTTAAATCCAAAAATGTGCGATAAAATTTTCAAATTTTCGTGCAAATTCATCACAAACGAACCCAGCCTGTATCTTGTTCATATCTATCCGCTTGCTAATTTTCGCCTTAATCAGGCCAATATTTTTTCAATTATTGCCGGACAACTAAAGTTTGACAAACGGACAGACTGACACACAGACAGGACCATAAGTGGTCTCTTTCCTTTCAGGATAACTATAAAAAAAAAAGGAATTAACAGATTGCCTCGCACCTTTCGAATTCGCAACTCCAATCGGCCACACTCGATGCACCAAAGATAGAAATACACTGACACGAGCAGAGATTCACTCCGCCCTTCGTGAGAGACACACCCGTCGCCTTCGACTGACGAAGGAGAACTGAGCGAAAACACGAGCTGCCTCCCATCCCCATTCCAGCCGGTCTCCGGATGGAGGTTCATTTTCTCTCTTTTTCTGCATGTGCCTCGAGGCTGTTTCCTCCTCGAATTTTTCTGACTGGAGTGTCCGTCGTTTCTCGCTGACTGCGAAGATGCCATCTTTCTTGCACTCCGATTGTTGCAGGAAAAAAGGACGATAAAGATTACCATACATGGGAACTGGCAGGGATCCCGATGGTCTCAGCCGTAAGAGCTTCTGACAAAGCCTGCCATGCTCGGCTTCCCCACATTTCAAGGTCGAATTTGAAATGCGAGACCGAAATGTCCCGTCACCGGTCACAATTTTTAGTGCTTGGCGTTTAGGGCTCGCGTCGATGTCCCTTCGCATTCGGCCTCATTCGCCTCAGCAGATCCTTCCGCACCCAGAAGGAATAAGACTGGAAAGGCTGCCGCAAGCCCAACGCCATTCGACTGTTTGAGGAATTCTGGCCGTGCTCCATTTGCGTTATCGTCGCAAATTTAACAGGAGTTCCTTTGGAATCGGAGAGAAGAAGGAAAAAGAATTGAAAACAGGAAATGGGGGTGACTTGGGATTTCATAGGATTTGAGGCTCTGGATCTGGGTGAAGTGGATCATATCACGTAACATTAAATCAACGTTGAATGTCGCTTACAAGTCGAAAATCCTTCGGCTCAAGACAAAGTAGGAGTAGCGTGGGGTATCTCGATGTTAATGAGATCGCGCTGATTCTGAACTGGCAGTTTGGGTCACAATGAAACTGCAACTCCAATTGCCTTTTAGGGGGAGCTAGTTCCCTTATTCAGGGGGATTGGTGACCAAAATCAAAGCTCAGGTTCCTTTGCTTTAGGGTCAAATTTTTAGGCAGCAAAAATCTTCATTTTTGGTAAATTGATCAATGCAGAAGAATTTCTGAATGAATTCATTGCTCATTATCTGAATGATTTGATGGCATGGAATTCAAAAAGTTTGAGAGTTAGTTACTTGGAAAATGTGTCCGGTTTTAATATGCGGGTTTCTACCACACCCACCAACCAGACAGGTTAGTTCAGGAGTCCCCCATCAGATGTTCCTTCATCAAGAGAAAGAGTAAATGAAACAAATCTAGCAGTACGAAAATCCCAAATGTAATAAATTACAAAAAAAAAGCGGACGCACGAAAATACTGAATAGCACCACGAGTTGAAGTTTGCACAAAACAAAGGCAATTCACGGCTTGAGAAGATCGTCCTTCAGCAACAGGGAATGAAGAACGGGCAGACTGGCAAGACTGTTGGCGGCAGACCCCCTGCACATCCTCAGCTGACTCGCCTCCAGGTCCCCTGGGCAATGAGACGGGTGCCAGACGTGGACGAGCGTGGGATCCGGGGCGCGGAACACGTCCAGTCCCTTCCGCCTCCACGCCTTCTCGTACAGATCCACGTCTTCCTTCCCCCAGCCCACGATGGAGAGATCGTACCCTCCGATCGCCGTCAGATCTCCCTTGTGGATCCCCACGACCCCGAACCCGTAGGTCCTCCAGTAGCCCCGATTCCGGTCGTACGGTCCGTCGTCCTCCTTGGGGTCGGACGGAGGCGACAGAGGCACGAGGGACGGATCGTAGAGGCTGAACACGATCGGGAAATAAACCCTCTTCCCGAGTAGGGTGTTGGACCTCACGTTCTCCAAGGTCTCCCCCGTGAAAGTGAGATCCACATCGATAAAGAACAGCAGGTCGTCCCGAGACGAACAGCACCGCGACGCCCCCAGCTCCAACGCCTTCCCCCTCACGAACTCCCCCTCCCCCTCCACGACCTCCACCTCCCCCGGCCCCCTCACCCTCCCCCTCGCCTCCCGAACCGCATCGTCGATCGCCCCGTCCTCCCCACTCCGATACCTCACGAGTATCAACCGACAGGGAGGCGCATCCCCACACGCCTCCACGAAGGCACCGAGGAACCGACGAACGCTCTCCGCCCTTCCCCACACCGGCACCACCACGTTCACCCTCTCCCTCTCCTCCTTCCCACCCACGACTCGGAGCCGGAGCGGCAGGAACGGCCGCTGCAGGTAAGCGTGTCGTCTCACGGCCATCGTCATCTTCTTCCCCCGATACTTCTTATACGTAAGGAGGAGATCCAGGATGAGATCCAGGCCGTGCCAGGGCACGACCCTCTGGTAACCGTACAGGATCTCCTTGAAGTCGATCAGCCGACCCCTCTCGCGACTCGAGGCATTGATCTCTTCCATCACCTCCCGCACCTACCAAGTTCCCATCCACATCCCACGTCATTCCAACCACATTCCCACATCATCCACGTTCATGCATTAAACTCATGATCAATTTTTTTCCTCACATTGGTGCTTTACAGGCCCACCTCTTTCAGCATCGTCATGTTTAACCACTGGAGCAAAACTCCATACAATCATTGGTGTTTCGACTTCGATTAACCATTTTCCCATTCTGTTCTCCCACTGAAATTTCCTTCATCTTCAAGGATATTTTCCTTAACATGTGTTCACCATGAATCAACTCAAACGAAAACGGTCGAGTACATACATACATGAATAAACCAAGAAAAAAAAAAAACAGATTTTGAGATGAATTTCACAAAGCAATCAGATCGTGCTTTCGTACTGACAGAAACGCTTAAAGTATTATCACTTATTTCAAGCTCCCTCAGGGCAGTTACTTGAAGGTATTCACCAAATCTCATCAAGTACTGCACAAATTTCTCACATAAAATGCCCCAAAGATTTCCACGAAATCTAAAGAAGTCTATGGTGAAAATGGATATTCAGATCACAATTTCTTTCTCCGATTTTTTTTTTCTCAATCCTAAAAATGGCAAATTATGCCAATCCTATTGGATTTCGTTCAGGTCCCGGCTCATTCCGATCTGACTAAAACTGACTGCACCGGCTGTGGCCCCGATTCCATGACGAACACCCAAATGAAATAAAAGATTTAACCCGTCGAAACGGTGCTGGACCTGATCGTCTCTGAGGATACGTGCCCCTTTCTCCTCCTCGTTCAACAAGAGTGGAAGAAAAAAATGAGAAAAATGTCAAGTGAAGCAATGAACCTTTTAGCTGCTCTCGACACGGGAAATGCATCTTGAACTTCCGTTACTGTTGCCATCGCCATGCGCGATTGATACGAGACTTGAAATGAATTCTGCTGTCATCAATTGTGCCCGCAGAAAAAAAAACTGGACTGGGGCCCAAACCACCTGTGCAAAACTCAGCAGTTGAAGGGTTAAAGGGACCATTTGCATCCAAGCATGATGATTCGGTTGGATCAACACCGAAGAATAATGAAATTCATTGAAGAAAATTAGGATTACGTATGCATCGTCCAATGACCTCTTCCGTTGGGAAACTGCAACTGGATTCAAGTCGCAAGGCCTTGGTTCAGGTGCTGATAACTGACCTTGGCACGACCACCGTTACAGAACTACATGACTGGTCTAGGGCCATGCACGGGCTGTGGGCCCAGTTGGTTCAACTTTTCCCACCCTGTGGAATGTTTCAAGGCAAAATTCCTGCGATCTTCCCTAGGATCAGGTCAGGTCAGGCTGTTCCGTTCTCTTTGGCCTCTTAACGGTACCGTGGACAGTGAGTGTCTGGAATGGAATTTCAGGTCACTCGGCACTCCTGCCCTCGGCCCCTCCTCTGCCGAGAACCCACGGCCGTGGCGAGCCCTGACCCTAGTCCATGCCGATCGTGCCATTCAGGAAATAAAGCGAAAAAATGGGCAGGATTTCTTCAGTCGGGACCCTGTCAGGCGCAAACCAAGATCAGACCGAACGAACCAAGTCCCCTCCCCCCCCCCCTTGAAAAAAAAACCAGGCCAACAATGAGGAAAGGACTCACCACGTCCTGGATGCCTTCGACCAGACGATGCTCCGCCCTCCTCTTCGGATTCCGTTCCTTCCACGAATAGAGGGACTTCTTGGTCATGAACTCCCAGGCCGGGATCTCCACCTCCTCCTCCGGCCTCCACTTCATCAGGCTCGGCCAGGACCCTGGAAATCCCCGCATCGATTAGTCGACACGGGTCGACACGGCCACAATACGCTCCTCTCGCGTCGATACGTGCCGAGAGACGACTTGTTGAAGGGGGATGACGGCTCCGCGTCGTCCGGATGAGGATCCAACTCGTTCAGGCTCCTCATCTCTCGCACCAGGAGGACCAGCTGCTTTTCGAGCTCTCGGATTCTCAGGGCCTGTTGGGACGTACACGATCGAGACATAAATCATGGGGGGAAAATATGTTGTTTCGATAATTCCCTTCTAAATTGCTCTTCGCTGTCCCACTTTCACAATTATACTTATTCATTTTACTTGGCAATGACTTGACACATACTTTGATTCCTCGGCTTCATCCACAACTGCTAAAGGTTCAATCTGATTGGATCCACTCATCTTTCCGCTTTGTTTGGCCGGAGCTTTCAAATTTTCCATCTGAAAATCTCCCCAACAGGCAATTCCTCCCACAGCAAAGAAAGCCCCCCGTCGTGACACATGTGGCAACCCTGCACCCTCCAAAACGACCGGCTAGCAGACGCAACGCAAGGACCCATACGTGGATGTACTTGTGAACGTGATAGAAGTATTCGTGATTCTTGATCGGATGCAGCGTGATGGCCCGATGCACCTCCTTCTGCTTCAGGCTCCCCGTGAACGCCTCGGTCCCGCTCGAGTTGTGATACAGGATCGTCCCCATCTGCACCCAAATTGAACCCATGAATCGCATCGAACCGACGGGACGGGAACAGAACGAGAGCGGGCACAGAACGGGAACGGGAACAGGACGAGAACGGGAACAGGAAGAGAACGAACCTCGTAAGCCCAGGTGCAGGAGACGTTCGCGAACCGGAGCACGCACCGCCCCAGCTCCACGTCCTCGTGCGTGGACAGAAGGTTCCCCAGGCAGTCCTTGACGTGCGGGGCCACCAACTCCAGGGTCTTCCCCGAGAAGATGATCCCCGGCCCCCCCATGCAGAAGTTCTCGTCGTAGTCGAGCCCGAGCCGCCCGAACTCCTCCTTGTTCCCCTGCCCCGTCTGCCCGATGAAGTGCGGCAGCGAGGAGTTCACCGACCGGAGGAACGCCGCCAGCTTCTCCGCCCGGACGTACGTGTCGTCGTCCAGCCTCATGAACCACTCGAAGTCGCGCAGGCGCCGATCGTGCATGTACTTGAGCATCACGAAGGACTTCTTCTGCGGCGGGTACGAGTCGTCCACCCCCGGCAGCGCCACGACCGGGAGACCCTCCAGCCCCGAGAGATCCGAACGACCGGACGTGAAGAAGACGACCTCACCGGACGCAAACGACGGCACCTCCTGCGCCCACGTGTTCCACGCCGCCACGACCCGCGTCCGAAGGAACGCCTCCGTCGTCATCACGCCGATCAGCACCAATTTCTCCTCCTTCGCGTTCGCCCTCGCGTCGGGGGAAAGGAGCCCGTTCCGGCACGAGGAAGTCCCGGGACCGAAGAGCAACAGCTTCTGGCAGACGAATGTGATGCCGAGGCCGACGAGGACTCCGGCCAGCACGTTCCACGCATTCTTCGACTTCCATGTCATGCCTGGACCCAAGAAAAGGCCGTCGAGAACAAAAACATCAAGACCCAACAAGAAGACTTTCGAGACAGTTCGATTCTGTTTCCTTCATCCCACTGAAAACGCCAGCTCGCGTCTCAGAGACCATCTTGTCGCTGGGATTCCTAAATTCAATTCACGTTTCCGGATCTTCAAAAATCCATTTTCCACTTTATTGTATAAAAATGCAAAAATATAAACGAGATCCCGGGTTTGAGCAAAAAAAAAAACTAGAGCCGAGATCACATTTCATCAATCGAAACTGGACCCGAAGCTGGACCTAATCAGCAAAACTCCCTCTCCAAGTCATCTAGAAAGCAAAAACCAATGCAGATCACAGGGGCCACACGAGGGCCATACGAAGGCCACAGGGGCCACACAGCCGGCTCGGATCAACTCGGCCCTCACCCGCAACGTCGTTGAAGTGCTCCCTCCTGAGCGCCGCGAGCAGCACGGGGAAGGTGGCCCGCTCCCCCTTGGTCCCCCTCCACTCCTGCAGGAGATACCCGAGGCACTCCTCCGCGGACTCCTCGCGGAGGTTCACGCGGACGCTGATCCCGTGTACCGCGCTCCCGAGCCCCAGCCGACGGGCCAGCTTCCGCCAGTCGCGGATCAGACGGGCGTTACGTTTCATCAGGTCCTCCATGTCCTCCGTGACTTCCACTGGGTAATGCGAGGGGAATGATGCTTGAAATAGCTGGAATGATCTTTTACTAGCTTTCTTCTGCTGGGAGACAACTGAGGTTACCTTGATATCTTGATTTACCTCGAAGAGTCCCCGAGTTTATTATTATTATTATTATTATTATTTCTCAATGTATTCCGAGTTTAGCCAGATCGATCCAGGTTCTATTTCATTATCTGCCATTCCCATAGGTGCTATGTCCGCAGTAACCATAGCGATCGGACAACACGACCCGCTGCGCACGCGCAGCTTTCCGCCTGGGTCAGGGGGCCCGTAAATCCATTAAAGCATCCACTTTCCCTCCAGCCCTGGCGGTTGACGGATCCATAGTAGACAATGGGGGGAGAGCGGCTGCTCCCGGCCGCGTAGACAGGGTTGCTAGGCGTACGTATGAAACTTGCATCCGCATGTACCTCCATCTGGCATCCTACACTTCTTACCGTCCTTCCATCTCCACGCGACGCGAACGCGCGAACCATCGAGAAAAAGTATAGTTGTCCATGCCTTTCCTTATAGGCCTATGAAGTATCAATGTCAGCTATTATTTATTTTACGGTGGGATGGTTAGGATGCGGCGAATACGATAATTCCAGTGGTATGGCAGATCTCTACCTGGGCTGATACTGACCAGTTAATTTTTTTATTAGCTTGGTAAGAGGCAGAATAATCCTCCATGAAACACTTCACGGAAGCCCCCATTTTGCCGTTTCTAGCATTCGCAGCTCTCTCAAGCCATTTCAAGGTATATCAGGTCCGTTACCATCACAGTAAAGAAAGAGCACGAACTCTTACGACGTCTAGACGCCCATCATTTCTCGTAGTGCTCCTCGACCACGACTTACCAGGCGTCGCATCCCTCTGCTTTTCGACCGGGACGGCCTCCTCCAGAGCCTGCGCCTCCCATTCGTAGTCGTGTTTCAGCGCATCCACCAACGCCCTAACGAAACAACCATCGATTAGGTCGCCGTCCAACCGAGCGGCATGCCGAACGAGTGCATCCGTACGTGAAGGCATTGGGTCCCCGCTTGGTGAGGATGCAGAGGAGGCGGTCCATCCGCTTCGCGTCGGAGGGGCAGGCGTGAATGTCCTGGAAGTCCTCGCTGCTCAGGATCCCCTTCTCGATGAGGAAAGGGAGGACGGGACCTGGGATGACGCGGTCCCTCAAGTGCCTCCACCGCCTCTCCAGCCTCTCTCGATCCTTCGCCTCCATCCCCTCGCTTCTCTTCACTTCCCCCTCTATCGGACACAGAATTTCTCGCACTGTCGTGACTCAGAGGTCCAAAGTTCATGGAGGGGCCCCAGCCCGGAAAATACTTCTGGCAATCTCCTCGAGAGCCAGATAAGCCCGAGGTATTCCCAACTCTTGAGACTCGAGATGAGTGGCGCTCCTCAAAAAAACATCCAAGCACGAGGAAAGCCAATCCATATACGTGAGAAAGCCGGACAACCATGAAGCTTCTGTTCCTCGGTGTCCTCGGATTTCTTTTCCTCCTTCACCAATTCCCCGCATCATCCGCCGCTTCCGCAGGTATTCATTAAAGCTCTCTGGTCGGGTAGATTCACGAAGGGAAACGTCCAAGGAGCAAGGGTATCGGTTGCGGTGGTGGTAATGAGATAATTAGGGACAATTTGTCGATCGGGGCTGGGATTATCAGACGATATCAGAGCCGCTTTTTTTTTTCTTTTTACAGCGAACACCGTTATTTAGGGTTCCGGAAAGTCAGTCAACTCGGAACCGGAAAGCTGCCGCTAAAATTTGTTTCTAAGAGCGAAGGGTTGCAATTTATTTTCTTATAAATCTATTAGCGACTGCTAGATGCCAGACACTATAATGATATGTTTTTACCGCACGCAATTGAAGTTCTGGCTGCGAAACTATCGGAGAAGAGTCGATTATCGAGATATGTCGATATCTACTGAAAACTTTTCCTATCGACGACACGTCCGCACGTCGCAACTTTTCGCAATCCCTACCCCTCTTTCGTCAGCACTCCCGCACGCACACACGTGCAATTACAGAGAGAAAATCTGCACGGCTGACAGGGGAAAACTACTTTCGGAAATAATATCTTTATAGTTTATATATGTCGTAGGGATTTGTGGAATTCAGGGGGATTTGGAATCTCCCTAGGGAGAGACAGGATTCCACAAAACCCGTGGGTTTATCGGAATCCTCTCAAAGTCGTGTCAATGTCACTACACCCTAGGGAGATTCCATATCTCCCTGGCTTGAAAATTACCCTTCCCACGGCTTGTCCCGCCGAGGGCATTTCTCCTTTCGTTTGCGTTTACGGATTATTTAAGGCTGAAGAATACCATGTTATAGTCTGTTCCCGACCAAAATTCTCGGATATGGAATCCCCCTCACACTTATTGTGGGTACCCATAAAGTGATTAATTGGAATTGACATGTGAGTGCCACCCTTTTGGGAAAGAATGCGCAGGGTTGTCAGATTCTGTTGGAATCCTCCCATGGCCGCCACGACATCCGCAGGACACTCACACGAAGAAAACGCATAAAAATCCATATCACGCGTTGAGAACCCTAGCTATTTTTATAACCCTTCCCATAATGGGCGAGGGCAAAACCCCAGAATTTATTGCTCAAAATCTCATCCGTCAAAGTTATTAGCCGTCTTTATTTGGAAGTATCCGAAAGACTTTGGTCGGGAATAGACTAATTGGCGCCGTGAGAATCAGTAAGAATGCCGCGCCTGATTCTGCCTGCCACTAACGAAGAAAGAGAAGCTTGGAAGACAGTGGTTGCGTCAACGAAGGCGAAGGCTCTGAGGACAGAAACAAGCTACGCCAATGGGGGTGCAGGATCCACCTGCAAGTGCAACAAGTCTTGTCGCACCAACAGGTACAGTGTAAAAAAATATAGGCATAACATGCGCATCCAAGTGTCACGGGGGAAAGCCGTGCAACCTCCCAAAATAAGACAAGTATATTGTTAATTGACTCCGCTTCGAATCTTATTGACGTTGATTTTTTTTCTTTCTATACATGGACTGAAATGAAATTCCATTTCCCCCGGGTGTCTTGATAATTCTCTTTCTCCCCAGGGGTAAACAAAATGATGGAAGCATTGGCAGCTAATCCGGGTGATTTGGAATCCCCCTAGGGGGAGGTGACATAATGGAGGTTTTCGAGAGGATTTCGCTAAACCCGCGGGTTTAGTGGAATTTAATCCGGGTGATTTGGAATCCCCCTAGGGGGAGGTGACATAATGGAGGTTTTCGAGAGGATTCCGCTAAACCCGCGGGTTTAGTGGAATCCTGTCTCTCCCTATGGAGATTCGGAATCCCCCTGAATTCCACAAAACTCTACGACATATATTTTAGAAACCGCTTATCCCAACTTAATGGGGTGGCAGCTCAAGCAGACCCAGGAGCATTTTCGTGTTCACTATCCTTAGCAACGGAATCCAGCTCGGCAGGCATTACCCTTGACCTAACCATTACCTAAACTTGTTATACCTTGACCTTGTAATGACGGTGCGGAATTTTCTACAGTCTTAGATCTCGGGACTATAGGTTTTTTGGGGGGCCTGGCTTAGCTGTAGGATCTACTGCGAAAATGATCACTGGAGGCAGCTCAGCCTCAGCAAATAGAGTGGTGTATAAGGACCTATCAGATACTAGTATTAATTGTAAAATAAAAAAAACTCAGGGTACATGACTTCGCACTAATATATATTCCCACGGCAGCCTGGGAATGTGCAGATTATGGGACGGTCACATACACAGGACACGTGTGGAAGATGCCGTCGCTAAGGTCGCATCACGCTCTACACGTTCGCATGCACGGTCCACTGCTTTGTGCATGACATGCTGCAACATCGCGATGTTGCAGCATGTCATGCACATGTTACGAGTGTCATGTCATGTCATGTTATGAGTACAGTGGTCCCCTATTCCCGTATGCGAGTTTCCAAAGCCTCCAAAGTTTCAGGGCGTAGGTCGTACACTTTGCTCTTTTGATATTCCTGTAGAAAAAGATCAGTTGTTAGGACCGGCCACCGTGATGGCCAGTGAAGGTCCCAAGATCTGGATATCAAGAGCCCACAAAACATTCTGCGGAGGAAATCCATGCGTATGCGGTCTGTGTGGGCTGTCGCCCCATCCTGCTGGAACCACATTCCAGGAGGAAGGCCACGTCAACGCGTCTCCACGTCTAATAACGACATTTTGACATAGCGGACAGCGTTGACGGTGATCCCCGTTACCATCGTCGACCTTTAAGTGGTACGGGCCGATCATTCCATACGCACACACCGCACGGTCAGTTTTCTCCGTGTAATGGCCGCTCATGGAGAAACTGGATTTTCTGCTGCCAAATATCAGCGTTTTGCTTGTTCACACGGCCATAGAGCTCGAAGTGTGTCTCGTCACTCCTGAGCAACATCTCCGGAATTTATTGATACAATTCCCCTGCACTATGCAGAATAATCCCGTGCAAAACTGCAAACGTGCACGATCATCATAATCGCCAAGCACGCTTATCATCATCGCTAAGTGCCTGCACAACTTGTATTCAATAGTTTGTATGGGTGCAAATGCAATTGCCCAAGGAGGAACTGTATGAGGGATGTTCGCTCCACTCGGACTGCCTGGACCAACCGACGTGTCAATCTCCGGGGACTACGTTGGACTGCTCCTTGGCCTCTGCCAAGGGTGTACGGAATGACCTTGGACGTCTAGGTGGTGGCATGTCGCGAAATGAAGCAGTCTTGATGTTCGTGATGGTCTTGTGGGAAGGGGCATCACGACGGTTGAGTTCACGTTTGAATGCCCGCTGGGTTGCCACAGGCGAATTACGAGTAGTTTGGATAAAGAGCTCCACCGCCTTCACACGCCCCTTCACCGACTAACGTTCCATTGCTGAATAATCGCCAAGATTATGTAGTTATTTAGAGACAGCGCATGTCAAGTAAAATGCATCGCCGGCAGCCATAACAGGAAAGGCAAACCTGGGAGGTATTTATGCACCACCCTGTAGTACCACGGGTCTCAGTTGCTTTAGCCCAGGCGATGTTGAGACCTAGAAACCAAGAGGATTCTTGTCTCTGCCTGCAATCTAAAGGAATGGATTGACTCTTACTGTACCTTCAGTTGTAAAGGCCGTCCTAGCCTGTGTTTCTGAGATTTATCTCACCTCTTCCTCTACATTACACTTAGCCATTTCTTGTTAGCCATTTCCCCCTCCGTAACGGGGAAATGGAGGAAAGAACCATTTGGGCGGTTTATTCCTCGTGTGATTGCAAAGCACAGTACAATTAAGGTCTAGTCGATTCACTTAGAGGAGAACGAGTCAGCGAGATAGTTCGATAGCTGCAATACTGCTGGTTTCTAAATTCGATAAATTATTGAGATTATATCTGACAGCTTTTCTTTCATGCCGGAATGAGGGTCATAAATCGCTGAGGATGTCACAACCCTGAGGATAAGCAGAGTTGTAAAATAATGGAAGGAGAATCCTCTATTTAGGCAAATTCCCTGCATATTAGACTTATCTACTCGAATTTAACTATGAAATAAGGAAAAATATGAAAGTGCAGGAAAAAAAGGATGGATCCCAGTGTTTTATTGACTTTCAAGAAGCATGGAGTTCACGTAATTCATAATATGGAAGTTGTCGTCACTGGAATTACTTGAGTTTTCACCATTCACGTGCATGATGATGGAATCAATTTCCCGATCAATACATGTATCTGCAACATGATAGCTCCTCTCGCCACAGGACAGGTCACTCCTTTCTCTTTCTCAAGATAGGCCAAATTAGAGAGTCAAGAGAGATGACAGAAAATCTCCATTTGACATCTCTGACCTGTCATCCATCAGGACAGGTGAAGACATGATAATTGCCTTCCTCCTCAAGAATCATGGAAAGAATCTGCCTTTGAGAGATAAAAAACTCGTTTTTATCCTATGAATAGACTATTCAGGTAGCTCATTCTCTCTACGTTCCCGTGAAACGCGCGTTCATTCTAATGTTAGCTCCATTCCTCACCGCGAGATGTCTCACATCAGCTGTAGGGAGCCTATAGTTAGTCCAGTTCCAGACAGCCTTAATCCACAAAGAGTGGTAAAGTCTAGTGTGTACATACTTCTTGTGTCTTGTACATACTTGTACTAATACTAATGTATTACTTATTCCTACTTCGACTTCTCAAAAAAAAAATTAAGACAAAACCAAGGCAAGGCGTTGACAATATTTGACAGAAATGGCACCTAGTTAATGGGTCATGTCAACTAATACTTTCTGGGACTGGACTAATCTTAAGTCCAAAAAACTTCACGTCCTAAAATATTCGCAACCTTGTTATCCGCAGAGAAAAAATATCAGCTGTCGTTGAAACTCAGAGGGATAGGTCGCACCCCCCCCCCCCCGTCGCCGTTCCGAATAATGTTGATGTTCTTTTAGCTGCGTCAATGGATTTTGGCAAAGCTAAGACAGTGATAAGTGAAGAACGATTGATGAGGTATGTTATGGAAGTACCATCGTCCA